TGTTAAAGAAGTAAAAAAGGATTTTCTTTGTTGCTAAACAAATTTTATTCCCAGAAAAGTCTCGTAAGTACTAGAAATATCATAAAAATATTATAACCAATATGCAAAATATTATGCTGTTTAAAGTATAGCCAACCTATAAAATCAAAATTTTGGGTGGGATAAAGTATCTCATTACAGCCACGAAAGCGGTGTTATAATGAAGTCATTATGAACGCAAAATAGATAAAATAATTTTCTAAAACCGAAAAAAACTTACCCTCTATTTATTATATATTCTGTCACTCTAGCTATTTCTTCTTCGTCCTTTTGTATGTTGTCTATTATTATGGGGGTGCCTTCCGCACTAGTGGCATAAAACACGCAAAAATCCAGCTTCATGAAGTGCAATAACAGCATAATCCGGGTATAGTGTTTAGTATTCTGTCTAACTCTGTAGTCCCTTCTGTCTCCTTCATTGACCACGACGACGTATGGCAAACTGTCGGGTGGCATTATGGGGTTTGTGCAACAATAGGTTTGCAACAACCCATTAAATTTTTCCGGGGTTTCCGGTCTGGAAACCACTCCATTCGCTTTGAATGTTATTCGAAGCCCGTACAACTCGAATTCCTCTATTTCAAATTGATCGTAGAGATTTTTCACCCCGCCCGGCCAGAGGCCTTCAAATTCTTTAATAGAAAAAGTTTTGTTATCCACTCCGTACCGCCTGGGGTCTCCTTTAAATCTATAAGGAAATACTTCTATTAACTCGAGCGCCATCAATTTAATGTTTTTTTATTATTTAAAAAAATCATGTGAGAAATTTTAGTTGTGCTTAGCAGTGACTGGTATCTAATATAACTAGTAGTTATTAACTTCTGATTAATTTCATCTGAAATAAATTTATATCCTTGGCATAAAAACAGAAGCGAATTTGCATTCGGTACGCGCCTAAAGAGCGGCATGCTTTGAGCGTGCCACGCCTTTGTCTTTTGTCGACTTTACACCGCGTTATTACAAATAAGCGGCATTATTATAAAATAATAAAAACAGTAGAAAATTCGCTACTCTACCGTACTCATAATTGTTTATTGTTTATTTGATTTATTTTTGGTAGAAATAAACCATTTGGTAACAATTTTATTTTTTTTAATAATTTTGCGCTAGAATATCGTTTATTTTATTGTATCAAGTTAATTTGAAAATAAAAAAGCCATTTTTTCTAAAATTAAGTATTTTCGAGAGAGAAAAAAAATAAAAAAAGTATTCCAAGTATACTACTTGGAAATTGTAATTGGAAATTAGATAATAATGAATGTTTATTGTTTATGTTAACAATTAAAATGATCGTTTAAAAAAATTGTCGTTTTTCTGAATTTTATGAAAGGACTTTTTTCAATTGGGTATCATCTAAATTATATTTTTAGTCTATACCTATAATTTTTAACAAAATAAATTTGCAGATGACGTTTAACCTTGCTAATCCATTTTTATTTTTCCATGTCTACGGCCTTGAATAATAACATCAACAGAAACCTACTGGAGAGAGTCGACCTTGATTTCAATTTCAAAACCAGTCGCTTCCAGTGATGCCAGATATACGGATTTTTCCGTATTCTACGGAATTTCGAGTGTTTTGGGAAAATATACGGATTTTTATACGGATTTTGGGGGCAATACGGATTTTATACGGATTTATAACAAATCCAAATTTTATACCTAAATTATCGCCAACTCTGTAGTTACAGCCTTTCGTTCTTTGGGGTGATTTTTCCCCAAATATTTTTAGGTTAAAAATCTTTTTTTTCCGGTTTTACTTATCCACAAGACTGAACTAAATACAGTTATCTGTAAATTACAGACTGTAATAGACAGGTTGCTGTAATGCATATTATTAAAACTATAGGAATCTGCACTTTTGACAGTTGAAGTTTAGTTTCAAGTAAACAGAGAATAGTATATAATACGTGAAATCGTCAAACTCGCCTTCGGCTCGTGTGACAAACTTTTCACTCGAGCGGAATATGCAATTCCAAACGTGTACCATAAAAAAATAATTTAATTAGCAGAAAGTGAAGTTTGATTTATCTAAAATTTGTTAGATATTAAACACAGAGATGTCGCCACCAGTGTTTATTCCGTCATCCGATAGAATAATTCATTCTGTAATACTCCAAGGAATATATGTCATTCCACATTAAAAAGTGATATTAGAACGGTTATATTCCATATAATAGGAGTAGAAAAAAATAATTAAAAGAATTGCCTTCTTGCTCGAGACTTAAAAATTAAATTATACTACGTTTTTTATTCTAAAAAATAAATCATCAACATGGAAATTAAATTTCCCCTAAATTAGTCTAATTATTGATAAAAAAATACGTAATAAGTGTAAAATACGAAATACGGAATTATACGGATTTTTTTTCTTAATCCCCACCATACTACTAGGTCAAATACGGATATTCAGCGCTAAAGATCTGGCATCACTGGTCGCTTCATTGTGCCCCACCCTGTCATAGGTCATGAATAAAGAAGAATTTTTATTATACATAGCACAGATTATAAAGGTTACATAGATTAGTAACCATTAGAGGTAGTATATATAATTATAATAAAAAATTAGGTATTATTTTAATAGAAAATAATTTAGATGTACAAACTTAAAGATAATTTAGACTTACACTTCCATTTTTATTGTTGGCCAACTTATCACTTAACAGTACAAATGCGTATGCTCAACCATAGAATGCTCAACTGTTGCAATAATCGCTATCCTACATATTTATATGCAGTTCTTCTTTGGCGCCAAAATGTTATCCAATGGAAAATGTGTACATGAAAACCTTGAAAACAATTTCTTTTTTTACCACTATAGTGGTAAAAAAAGAAATTGTTTTCAAGGTTTTCATATCAGCCCGCAAATGCATGTAAAGAAAATAAACTTATTTATAAATACAAGAAAAATTCAGTTGGCTACACGGTGTAGCCAACTGAATTCCCAAGTTTTTGAGTTTGTCAATGTTAAAATAAAAATAAAAACTTTTTAAATGTTTTCTGTAATACCCACCTTTGCTTTCAATCAGTCCAAATTGAAACATGTCAATGTAAAATATCTGTGAGAAGTTTTTGAAGGCCGCTAGGGCTAAAAATTGAATAAAATTGCTGCTAAAATGTTATAAAATGGTTTCCTACATCTATAAAGCAATAGGAAATCTACTGGGCGAAGAAAAAAAAATTGCCGATGAAGATTTGGATTTTGAGTCGGGAATTTTATTGGACGTCGGGATACAATGGGTTTACGTAAGCAAATTTGCATTTTTTTCACGCCAACAATCTAAATCTATTTATTTAAGGAATTCAAGAAATTTTTAATACCCAAAGAATACAGAAATCCTAAAAGATGTTCCAGTTTCTGTCTCGATAAAAAATGCAAAACCTAAGTACCATTATTCAATTTTTATTAAATCATTTATTATAAATTGCATTTTTAATTTGATCCAGTCACTTAATTATAATCTAATTTAGCAGTGTTTTTATTATTTTTTCCACTTCCACTCCCACCTTTATCGTACATGTGTCTATGACACTAAGTGACCTTTTAAATACATATTGACAAGTTGTGGCTTTATGGCGCTTTAGTCACGGGCTGAAGTTAGCAACAGCTTTTTAGTGACGGGCTGAAGTTAGTTTTAAGTTAGTTGACAGTTGTCAAATGTCATACAATCGTTAAAATGAATTGCCTTTCTTGAAAAATAATACTAAATTTGAAAATTATTTTATGATCTCAATACAAAAATACAAAAGTATTAAATAATTTCTCAACGCCAATATTTGAAAACTTTATATGAACATTGTACTGACCTTTTAATTTCGCCGGCAGTAAACTATAACTTAAATTCGGACACGGACTCCACTGTAAAGTGCTCATAAAACATTTTCTTTACTTTCACTGTGAAAAACTGTGAATTTTCAAGATACATTTCGATTTATAACCTTTATAATTGTGTTATAAAATGTAAAAATGTGACATTTGACAGTTTTCCCTGTTGTCTCATAGATGGCGCTCTATACAAATTTTTGATTTAAATCATTTAAGATAATAATAAGTATTTGTCGTAGAAAAAGTAAAGTATGCACCTCGTTTATAAACTTTTCTATACACGCATTAAAATATTTCAGTATTAACTTATTACATTAACTTTAAAAAATATATACATTTTTAAAGTAAATGTAATAAGTTAATAAGAAATATTTGTGATATTCGCCTCATTATGCCGAACTAAAATGTTTTACCAGCACTATATGGTGTAGTACCCTACAAGTGTACTCTACTTTAGTTAGTGGAGGTCTGCCAACAACCTATTGTATAATCAATTTTGACAGTTAAAATTGAGGTTATATCATTCGCAAACCCCACTATTCATAATAAAAAGCATGGCAGCAGCCCCCAGAAGCGTAGGCCTCTTCAAAAGAGCTTGGAATGAGATCCCAGACGTTGTGGGCAGCTCGTTTATGGGAGCAATTGGTTTGGTTTTAGTTGGAATATCATTGAAAATTTACTACGATAAGGATGGTGACAATAGAAGAAACAAAATGGAATACACTGTAATAAGGCACGACGATCCCAGGGTTGCTAAAATTCGTAAAGATTGAAATTGTCTTCAAACGAGTTGTATGTATGTAGGGAATTTTATTTAATTGTAATAAATTTATAACAATATGTTGGCATTTTTTTTAAACCTCTCTCATATCAGTATACTTTACTGTTGGTATTTTTTTGTGTAGTTCATTAATTTATATTTTTTAATATTTTAAAATATCTTTAAAAGATTCTTTAATAAATTTTGACCATTCTACATTTTAAATTCATAAAAAATAAATTAGGTACTCTTTTAATAAAAATCCTTTTTTATTCAAAGAAATAACTGCAGAATACCAACTTATTCTATAATATAAAAATGATCCTGTGGCATCCTAAGGTAACAAAGGAAAATGTATGGAATAAAAAACTGGTTATAATAAAAGTTTTAATTTTTTTTTTGTAATATAATCTTTGATGATTAAATTAATATAATACAATAAAATTACAAAATAATATAGAAAACCTAATAGATGCAGTAGAATGACGTAAATATATTAGATCTGATTATTCTTATAGTATGTACAGAAAATGGTTAACACCACGAAAAAAATGGACTTTTGTCTTGAAAACGTTGGGTAAAATTAAAAAATCGTGTTGTGTGGCTTCCTTGAGACCTAAAACAAAAAAAATAAAAAACAAAAAAAAAACTATTTTTTTTTTCTTACTTTTCCACAACCACAGCAGGCATTTGCACCAACTGCACAGGAGATTTTCCATCTTTTAAAGCTTGCGTGAGATTTAAAATTTGGCCCCGCATTACTGATAGCTGTCTTTCAAATAAATTTCTATCAAAACCTTTGTCTTGTTTAAATAGTAAATATAAATCATCACATAAATCCTAAAAAATAAATCAAAAAATAATTATACAGTTAACTTAATTATTTTGGTCCGACTGTGCTAACAAATAGCACAAAGGTGGACAAAATTAATTTTTCATGTTTTCATTATGATTTTGGAAAATATAATTTTTTTTATTTTAAAGATTTTGTTAATCTTTTTGATTTTGAAAATTGAAGATTTTGATGATTTTAAGAGTTTTAAAAACTTAAATTTTTTGCTAATTTAAAAATTATTTGGACATTTTATCATAAAAATTTTGTTGACCATAATTTTTAGTTTAGTTTAAAAGATTTTTAAAATTGTTGATTTTGAAATTTTTTAGAATTTTTAATATGGAACATTTTTCAAATTTAAAAATTATTTGGAAATTTTGAAGATCTTTTAAATTCTGCAAATTTGATATTTTTGTGAATTTTAAAATTGTTTGCTTATTTTGAATATTTTTTTAATTTTGTTGATTTTAAAAAATTCTAAATTTTAAATTTTTTTAAATTTTTGCACACTGAAATTTTTTGCTAAATAAGATTTTGAAAATTTCTAAGTTAGGTATTTGGATATTTTGAAATTATTTGCTGATTTTGTAAATTTTAAATATTTAAATATTAAATATTTTGTTCTTAAAAATTATTTGTAAATTTTAAAGACCTTTGAAATTTAGTTGAATTTGCAAATTTATTTGTAAATTTTAAGATTTTTAAAAATTTTGTTGAATAAAATATTTAATATTTTATGATTAAGATTTAACAAATGTTGTTAATTTTGAAGAATTTTAAAATTTTGTAATTGGAAATTTTGCAAATTTTAAAAATTGTACATTTTTTGAAATTTAAATTATTTAAAATTTTGTTGATTTTGCCAATTTCTTTGATATAGAAAATTTTGCAAATATTAAAATTATTTGCTGATTATGTACATACAGTTGTATTCAATAAAAAAGCGTACAAGAATTAGAATGAGAGAAAACTGTCAAAATAATATTATTGCTTAAAACCGGCTTATCACTTACATAAGTCATTAAAATAATTATTATAGGTTATAAAGAGCATTGACGTCGTAGGTTAATTAAATAATATTACAAAAATTACCTTTTAATAATGAAAAAAACAAACATTAAAAAAAATTTAATATTTAGTCATGCATCCCTGTTTTTCTATTACTTGAGCCAATCTATTTGGGATGAACTGAATTAAATTTAATACAATATTTGGATTAATATCTTCCCAGCAGTATAGTAGGTATAGTATAGTTGTATAGTTTCCCATAAATCCTCAGATATCTCAAAAAAACAGCATCCTGTTCAGGGGTGGACATTTTGGGACGACCTGAACCAACTTTTTGGTTTAGTAAATCTTCCTGTTCCCAGCGTTCCTTAATTTTTAATATAGATATTTTATTTCTATTATACCACAGTACGAATTGACCATTCTTCTTCGATTCTTGATACTATTTGAGCCTTTTTAACTGACGAGGCATTTTTATTTTCTACTGTCAGTTATAGTGACTTAAGTCAGTGGAAAGCCGGTTTTACGCAATAATGTTGACAGTTTTCTCTCATTCTAATTCTTGTACGCTTTTTTAATGAATACAACTGTACTTTGAATATCATTAAAATTATGTTGATTTTGAAAACTTTAATATTTTATGCTTATTTTGAAAGATTTTACAAATTTCGTTAATTTTGCAAATTTTAAAATTTTTTGTAAATTTTGTTCTCACTCAAATCGATTTTTTTTAATTTTATTTTTTTTTAATTTTGTTAATTTTGAAAATTTTAATATTTTATGCTCATTTTGAACATTTTAGATCGATTTTTTTGGAAATTTGGAATATGTTTGCTAATTTTGAAATCTTTCTAAATCTTAAAATTATTTAGAAATTTAAAGATCTTTTAAATTTTGTTATTATTAAAATTTGGACATTTTTTTGTCCCCACCCACTCAAATCGGTTTTTTGAAATTTAAACTATTTAGAATTTTGTTGATTTCGAAAATTTTGCAAATTCTAAAATTATTTGCTGATTACGTAAATAATAAATATTTTTAAAATCTTGTTGATTTTGAAAATTTTAATATTTTATGCTTATTTTGAAAGATTTTACAAATTTTGCTAATTTTAAATGTTGGTCTTGAACATTTTTTAAATCTTTAAATTATTTAGAAATTTTTAAGATTTTTTTTAATTTGTTGATTTTGAAAATTTTTACAAATTTCGTTAATTTTGAAAATTTTAAAATTTTTTGGAAATTTTTTCCTCACTCAATATTTTTAAAATTTCAATATTTTATGCTAAGTTTGAACATTTTGAAAATTAGTCACAATTTTAAAAGATTTTGCCAATTTTGTTAATTTGTTAATTGGAAATTTTGCAAATTTTAAAAATTGGACATTTTTTGTCCCCTCTCACTCAAATCGGTTTTTTGAAATTTAAAATTTTGTGGATTTAAAAAATTTTGCAAATTCTAAAATTATTTGCTTTTAAATATTTTGAAAATTTTGTTGATTTTGAAAATTTTAATATTTTATGCTTATTTGGAAAGATTTTACAAATTTTGCTAATTTTGAAATTTTTTTAAATCTAAAGATTTTTTATTTTGTTGATTTTGCAAAATTTGTTGATTTTGAAAATTTTACAAATTTTGTTAATTTTGAAAATTTTAAAAATTTTTGGAAATTTTGTCCTCACTCAAATCGATTTTTTTTACAAATTTTATTTTTTTTGCTAATTTTGAATGTTTTCAAATTTCAAAATTTTATTTTGAAAATTAGTCCCCTTAAATCCATTTTTTGCAAATTTTGAAATTGTTTGCTAATTTTGAAAGCTTAAAATTATTTAGAAATTTTAAAGAATTAAAAAATTTTATCCCCTCACTCAAATTGTTTTTTTTGCAAATTTTAATATTGTTTGAAGTTTTGTATATTTTTAAAATTTTATTGGTTTGGAAATTTTCTGAATCCTAAAATTATTTGGAAATTTTAAAAATCTTACAAATTTTCCTAATTTTAAAGATTTTTAATATTTTGTTGATTGAAAAGTTTGTAAATTTTAAAAATTTTTGAAAATATTGTCCCCACTTACTAAAATCGATTTTTTGTTTGCTCTCAACGCGTATAACTTCAAAAATACCTTTTGTGCCTTAAAACTTATTATTGCAGCCAACACCTTTGCGCTTATTTTATTTTTAAGCGTCGACTCTACCTGCACAAAGTGTAAATCCGCCAGCAGGGGCAGCACCAGGTCCCTGGTGTCCTTGCTGAAGGGGATTTTCGCCTGCGGCAGCCAGGCCCAGTGGTAGGGGTAGGCCCGCCAGCTGTCCGGGTGCTTGTAAGGAAACGCGAGCCCGTTATCGATGGCCGCTATGCTGATTTCCGGCAGCGACACCATGCTCCACTCCGTCGTGTCCATCAGCTCGACCTGCGAAAACAATCGAAAAGAAACCAGCCGCCAAAATTTTTTAATATCAAAATCCTCTGCCACTAGATGTTGCACTTTAATTTAAAAGCACTGACATGAAAAAACTTTACTAAGTATTCAAGAAACTTTATCTTAGATACTTTTTATATTGTACAGAAAGTATCTTTAACTCAGTTACTTTGGAAAAGTATCTTGTAACTTGTATCTTAAAAAGTTTCTAAGTAACTCAGTAAAGTAACTAAGATACATTCAAGTAACTTGGATACTTTAAAGTGAATATTTTTAAAATTTTATGTTTATTTTAAAAGATTTTACAAATTTTGCTAATTTTAAATGTTGATTTTGTAAATTTTAAATATTTAAATATTAAAAATTTTGTTCTCGAAAATTATTTGAAAATTTAAAGACCATTGAAATTTTGTTGATTTTTAAAATTTTAATATTTTATGCTTATTTTGAAAGATTTAACAAATTTTGTTCATTTTGACGATTTTTTAAATTTTGTAATCGGAAATTTTGCAAATTTTAGAGATTGAACTTTAGTCCCAACTCACTTAAATCGATTTTTTGAAAATTAAATTATTTAAAATTTTGTTGATTTTAAAATTATTTGCTGATTATGTAAATTTTGTATATTTTTAAAATTATGTTGATTTTGAAAATTTTGTAAATTATTTAGAAATTTTGAAGTTAGGTAGTTAATTTTGGAAATTTAGTCCTCACTCAAATCGATTTTTTTGCAAATTTTAAATTTTTTGCTCTAATTTTAAATATTTTTAAATTTTTGTTAATTTTGTCCCCTCAAATCGATTTTTTTTGAAAATTTGGAAATTTGTTGCTAATTTTGAAAGCTAAATCTTAAAATTATTTAGAAACTAACTAAAATTTTGTAAATTTTGAAAATTTTTAATTGATTTTTATGCAAATTTTAAAATTGTTTGAAATTTTGTTAATTGGAATTTTTTTGCAAATTTTAAAACTTGGACATTTTGCAAATTTTAAAAATTGGACATTTTTTTGTCATCACACTCAAATCGATTTTTTGAAATTTAAACTAATTAAAATTTTGTTGATTTAGAAAATTTTGCAAATTTTATGTTTATTTTGAAAGATTTTACAAATTTTGCTAATTTTAAATGTTGATTTTGAAAAGTATCTTTTAACTTGTATCTTAAAAAGTTTTTAAGTAACTCGGTAAAGTAACTAAGATACCTACATTGAAAGTAACTAAGATACTTTTTAAAGTAACTTAGATACTCTTCAGTGCAACTTAGATACTTTTTTAGAGAAAATTGGGGGAATTCCAGAATGATTCAAAGTAATTACCTAACCTACAACTTGTTGAATTTTTATAATTTTATAGTTTTTATTCAAACTTAAAAGTAACTTAGTTACTTAAAAGTATCTTAGTTACTTAAAAGTATCTTAGTTACTCAAAAGTATCTTAAATACTTTCATATAGTATCTTAGATACTTTTTAAAGTATCTAGTAACTAAAGATAATTTTAACTCAAAGTATCTAGTTACCAGAGATGGGATTGAGCCGACGAAAAAAAACGGAAAAACTGGGATTTTTTCAGAAAAATTGACTTTTTAATTTTCTTAAATTTTATTCAAAGAGTAATACCAAAAAATGCAAAAGTCAATTTTTTTAAAAATTTCCAAATTTTTACGGAAAGTATCCGTACAGTGATATCGAGAAAAAAATTTCCGACGCTGATTATAATCATATAATATTATAATTATAAAAATTATTTCTTTTATTTTAATTCAGTAAGAATATTCTACCGGGCCGCAAAAAATCATATTCGGTGCTATATTAACATAACTTTTATTTAACACTTCGATTTATAAAATTATAATTGTATCATATAAATCATTCATTATTTTATAGTTAAATATTTTTATAAAGTCCATTATAATGGACTCCTTTTGCAATAAAAAAACCAACAGGCAGTATATTTCACGTTTACGTTTATTTTATTAAATTTAATTTAATGCTTAGTTTTATTTTTTTTGTAATAAAGGATTTTTTTTATTTAAAATAATGTTAACTTTTTGATTGCCACTTTTTTCAAATTCAATTTTTCCCAAAAAAAACAATTTTTCCAAGGCCTGGAAAAAAACGGAATAAAAACAGGTTTTTCCCCCAATTTTTCCGGTTTTTTTCCGACACTATAAAACCCTAACCAGAGGTAACTAAGTTATTCTGTTTAAAGTATCTTAGAAAAGTAACTAGGTAACTTTCCCAGCTCTGGTGAAAGCTTACCTGCGACGCGTTGGAGTTGAGATTGGCGAGGTGACCGTTGGCGATCGTCGGCGGGTCGTACTTGATGAGCCAGTTGTCGTTGCCGCGATCGGTGTTGCGGATGATGTAGTCGAGCACCACCAGGCGCTCGAACTGCAGCTGAAACTTGTGCATCACCTGCGGCGGCAGCGGCTCCACCTCGAACCTACGCAGCCAGTAGTCGGCGTCCTTGTAGCCGTCCACGAACAATTGGAATGAACCGCTCTGCGAACAAGAATAGTGATATAAACAAAAAAAAACGCTTTTTTTTTAAAGGGGTTTGTTTTTTTTCAAAAATTGTTTTTTTTGGAAACATTGTTTTTCCTTAATAGAGATTATAACAGAAAAGAGTAAACTTAAAGCAGAACAATTGAGAAACTTTTTAAAATAATTTTTATTTAAAATTGAGGTTTTTAAATAAAAACACCAAATAAAAACTTGCTTCTAAAATAAACATACATGAGTGTCTATGAAAATTAAAACAAAAACACAACTAATAGTATATTATGTATCAAGTTTAATAAACGCCATTTTATACACGAATTTAATTTAGGCACGAGCGAGCTTGCGAGCGAGTGCTTAAGTTAATGAGTGTATAGAAAAGTTTATAAACGAGGTGCATACTATACTTTTTCTACGACAAATACTTATTATCATCTTAAAATGATTTAAATCAAAAATTTGTATAGAGCGCCATCTATGAAACAACAGGGGAAACTGTCGAATGTCACATTTTTACATCAGTGGCGTAACAAATTCTGAGTGGGCTCCCCCGCAAACGATTTTAATGGGCCCCCTTTACAATGAGTAAAAAGTTTATTATTACCATTAGGTAATTTTTAAATTAGTTTATCATAGTACCTTTAAACCCACATTAAATACATAATATTTTTTAGTTAAAATTAAAATATAGATAAAGAGTGTACCTATACGATAAACAGGCATAACTTATGTCACATAAGATAAGCAAATAAAAAAGGATTAGGTAAGAAAAATGGCTGTGTTTTTAATAAAAACTGTTTATCGAGAATATGCTTCTTTGCAAATTCGCACATAGGTAATAACTTATTTAAGTTCATGTGTAGTTATTAGACCAGTGCAGAAGCCTTTAAAAATGGTAAAAAGTGAAAAAAAATAACAGTAGCATGAAACCCATTGGAAAAGGAGGGGAATATAATAAAAATTAAAGGAAAAATAAATTACGGGCGATCTGAGTTCGGGAAGTGGGAGGGGGGGGGTTTAAGGGTAAAAAATGGTTTATCTCGATTTCCGGCAAAACTACAAGTCCTATGGAAAAAAGTTAAATGTCAAAGTTGTAGGTAATAAAGAGATCTACAACTTTTGTATTAACAATTTTTTCACATAACCTCAAAATTTATGTGAAAAATTCAAAAAGTTTTTGGTTTTTTATTTTTATCTTTTAAAAAAAAAAATTTTTTTTTCACGAAATTTACTGAAAACCTACCTTTTTATGTCCCAAATACACTGTAAATTATTTGATTTGAAATATTTATTATTTAGCCTTATTCTGACTTAATTTCAAAAAAGCACCCTAATTTTCAATAGAAAATTCTCGCGTCAAAATATCAGCTAACAGAATTATAATTACCTATATAATAAACAGAAAATATTTGGGTAATTATTATTTAAATATTTTTTTAAAAGAATCCCAATGAGATATATGTTATAGAATTACGAAAATGATCTGAAAATAAAAAGGTATATATAATAAGATTTTTTAAACTAAAATTAATTAAATATTTTCTGTTTTTAACTATTTTTAACAAATAATGCTTGCATAACTTTTAAACCAAATAACCATAGAATTAAAATATAACAAATAACATTGTTAATTTAGCAAATATTAACATTTGGAAAAGCGTTTAATAGATGGCGCTACAACCGCATTTTATTTCTCGCGCATGTTTAAAATCAACGAATTAAATAAATATTGTAAACAAAAAATACTTATACGTTTAGGTTTTTAGGATTTTTTTTAAGATGAAATATTTAAAAAATTAAATATTTCTTTAATTTATTGGTTTAAACTTTTAAAGAGTGAGGTGAGCCTTGGGCCCCCTGACCGTCTGGGCCCCCCCGCGGTGCGGGGTCTGCGGGGGTGCTTATTACGCCACTGTTTTACATTTTATAAACACAATTATAAAGGTTATAAATCGAAATGTATATTGAAAATTGACAGTTTTTCACAGTGAAAGTAAAGGAAATGTTTTATGAGGACTTACAGTAGAGTCCATGCCCGAATTTAAGTTATAGTTTATTGCCGGCGAAATTAAAAGGTCAGTACAATGTTCATATAAACTTTTCAAATATTGGTGTTGAGAAACTATTTAATATTTTTGTATTGAGATAATAAAATAATTTTTACATTTAGTATTATTTTACATAAATGCACTTTATTTTAACGATTGTATGACATTTGACAACTGTCAACTAACTTAAAACTAACTTCAGCCTGTGACCAAAAAAGCCACAACTTGTCAATGTGTATTTAAAAGGTCACTTATTGTCATGGAAACATGTACGATAAAGGGCGTTTTAAAGGTGGGAGTAGAAAAAAGTTTTTTTTTATTTATAAGAGAAAAAAGGTACCTAAACTAAACTGATCGAAAAAGTTAAGGATATTGTGAATTCTCTGAGAAAAAAATAGTTTTCAAAAAAATTTGTATAACGTACATTTACTCTCATCTCTTTTAACTGTTTAACTGAAAAAATATTTTAATTAGAATTTACAGGCAACTTTTCTCTTACAATGTAACAAAACCGATAATTATCAAAAAGAAAAAAATGATTAATAGCGTGTAATTCCACCTCTGTTGGCTATTCGGCCATTTCAAGCGCGTGAAACGCACGAATTACAAAACTGTTTTTATAAAAAAAATTGTAGATTATTTATTATATAATATTTTTTCATCAAAATTGTCAAAAATATTCTTCTTTTATTAAGTTATACATTAAATAAAAAAACGCAAGAAATATTTTATGAAAGTAGATATAATTTTAATAATTAAAAGGTGTGGACGGGAACAAAAAAAAGATTTATCTTGTCCCGTCCACCCCTGTCAATTATTGAAATTATCTCTACTTTTATAAAATATTTCTTGCGATTTTTTTTATTTAATGTATAGCCTAATAATAGAAAAATATATTTGACAATTTTGATGCAAAAATAATATATAATAAATTACCTACAATTTTTTTTATTAAAACAGTTTTGTGATTTGTCCCGTCCATCCGCTTGAAATGGCCGTATTACTCCTTTAACTCGGCGAGGCATGCTTAAAATTAAACTATCCAAGTCATTTTGATCCAAGGTATCCCATAAATATGGAAGAATTGTTTTGTTACATTGTAAGAGAAAAGTTGACTGTAAATTTTAATTAAAATATTTTTTTAGTTAAACAAATGTGTTTTATTTCTAAAAGACACGACAGTAAATGTACGTTATACAAATTTTTTTGAAAACTATTTTTTTCTCAGAGAATTCACAATATCCTTAACTTTTTTCGATCAGTTTACATTACCTCCCATTCAAAACCAATATAATCAGAGTCAACGTCAAATTCTTTTGGCCCTTTCAAGTCGAAAGTTCCGACGTGTTAGTGTACAGAAAAGTTTTCAGAAGTACCTGACAAAGAACTGTCGGAAATATAATCTAGATAATCTACAACCATGTCAACTGTAGCTGTAGTATCTTTGTTAGGTAGTTTTTTTTATAATTTGAAAAAAAAAATAATCTCTTGGTTGTTTTTTTAGTTTTTTTTTCAAATTTGAAAACAAAAAATTTTTTATATTACTAAACAAGAATTATGTTACCAATTGGAAGGGCAATAACATATTTTTTCTACTCCCACCTTTAAAACGTTTAAAACATTAAAACATTTTTCCATGACACTAGTGACCTTTTAAATACACATTGACAAGTTGTGGCTTTATGGCGTTTTAGTTACGGGCTGAAGTTGGCAACATGTTTTTAGTCACAGGCTGAAGTTAGTTTTAAGTCAGTTGACAGTTCAACTGTTGTCAAATGTCATACAATCGTTAAAATAAGTGCCTTTTTTAAGGAGCAAAAACACTATATTTTTACAAAATACAATGCTACTATGTCAGTTTTTAAGAGACATTTTTAAGAATTCATGTGCAGTAGAGTTGACGAAAATGTAATTGTAGAGAATTTTTTGAATTATCTATTTTTTTTCATTGTTATTTTAAGTTTCTATTGGGTTTAATTTGTCAAAACTAAGCCTAGAATATTCAAAGGATTTAAACGCGACAACATTGCAAGTTGTTGATAGTTGGTTTCTATAGTAACGCTTTTCGCTTTTGACAGTGGAAGTGACAGTTCTATATGCGGTGTTATTTAAAATCTTAAAATGAGTTGTGAAAACGAATTATTATGTTCTGTGAATGTTTTCTTTTAAATGTTGTAAAATTTATAGGTACCATAATAATTGCGGAATTAAAAAAATATTTAAGAGTTTTTTGTTTATAATATATTATCTACTGATTTTTACAATTATCGTTACTTTCCAAAAAATTAATAAAAACTTTAAGCATTTGACGTGATTTGACTCTTTGGGACCTTTTAGTTTAGTAATTATAGTAGTTACTAAACTTTTATTAATAAAAAAAATAATTAAAACGATGTTCTTGAAAAACCTACCTTTGGTGGGAGCCCTATTCTATTAAATCTTAACCCTACATTCGGAAATTGTTCCATAATGGCCCTTTTGACGCGTGCTTTTTCCCTATCTATCCTTAAATAATTGAAAGTTTCCGAAACCAGTTTAACCACCTAAAAAATATCGAAAACAAATAAAAAATTAATAAAGAATTCTAATTTGACATTTGACGTTTCGCTTACCCTCGTCTTGGGCACGATGTTGAGGTTAAGTTTGGCGTCTACAAGATAAGCGGCCGCCTCCGATAGGTAGCCTTGGTTCGGTATTAAGCACGCCCTGCCAAAACAACACGGACAACACAATTTGTGCATCCATTTTGTCCATTTCGGATTCAGGCGACCGTAAGGCTCTTCGTCTTTCGGTTTAAACACAGCTACTATTTTCTGAAAATAGAAAAAGATGTAAAGATTTTTTTTTCTTCTTTTTGAAAGTTGCAAAATTTTCTTAGCATTCTTTAAAAAAATATATCTTTTATCCGAAATCGGCAGTAAGGTAGTCAACAATCGGCAGTAAAGTAGAACTTTACTGCCGATTTAATACGAGTATTGTATGCAACCCATTATACATTTTAAGATGTGTCTACTGCTCCTCAGCAGCAACTAAATAATTTAAAAAAACACCGTCGCGGAGGTCGATTGGACCCTTTCATAAAATGTTGTTTAATAAAAAAAATAAGTTAATTTTATTAATTAGATAAAAAAATCGCCGCGGCGGGCAAATATATAATAACCGTCGCAACAAACAGTATACGTATACACTTCCTACATTCAAATTACATTTGATTTGATCATCAAATGACATTTGATCATCAATATTAAATATTGATATTTAATAAAATTTAATATGCACCTCGGCATTTTTTATCACTCACGTGGTTATTTGCCTCGGCTTTCGCCTCGGCATATAATTTCCACACTCATGATAAAAAATACGACTTTACTGCCTTGATACATAAATAACTATTGTTTTACTTAATGTAGCCAATTATTAATTTAGGTTTCCTAGAATTTGCCAATTAAAATCCTAAATTTGACGTTGTCAAATTCCGAATAGAAAAAAACAAACTGTATGTTTCATTAAAATGTATCACTAAAAAATTACAAATTGTCGTTAAAACTAAACAAATATTCTGAAATCAAATCAAAGCAGATATTTTCAAATTTAAACAAATTTCAAATATTTAATAACCAGTGAATTGACAATAATTATTAAATTTATATTTATCTAAGTTAAATTTAATTTAATTAAAAAGTAATTTTTGAAAATGGATTTATTAATTGATACAATTGTACAATATATTGAGTAAATATTATTTACAATATGAGCAACTTCTAAAAAGTGAACAATATTTCCCCAAAAAACAAATTTACATAACATTTGACCTCAAATAATATGGATAACTGATATTGACAAAATTTAATTAAAGCAAGTTTTATAAATACATAAACATAATATTTTAAATTCCATTATACTTTTGACCAGCATCAATACTGTTTATTATTAATAATTTTTATTTAAATATAGACTGGAATGTTATTTATAGATATGAGGTCTTAAAAAAACCCATTGATAAGATAATGGACCAGTTTACTCATACATATGTACATAAAATAAATATGTGTACATTTAAAATGTTGCGCAAAAAAATAATCGAATTTAAAATGTCATAAAACTAATAAAATTATTGTTTGATTTTTTCCAAGGACTTAAATAAAACTTGTAATTAAAGCCTCCCCACAAAAAATCATCCATTTTTATTATATGCTTTATTTATACCGTATTGAAACCTAAAACCAGTAACAAATATAGGTAAATAAGCAAAATGAATTGGATTACACAAACCACTGTATTAGCTTTAGCTAATTTATTTACATGTATTATTTATTATAACACATTTTTATCAAATCACAATTTTTACTACATAGGTACCTATATTCAATTTAAAATCAATATTATATTTAAATTAAGCTGCACAAGAAATTTGTATGGTTTCTTTCTATGTAATATAATTACTACTTACTCCAGCAAGGTTTTTTACAAAGTATGAGCCACTGGATCCTTGGGATATCCTTTCAGGAAAAATCCCAACATCAATGGCTCCTTCTGCTTGCCATACTAAATCACTAAAAGATGGATCATCTGCAATAAAAGTTAAATTTAGTTAATTATGCAAATAGGACAAATTTTACATACTCTTTTCATATTTCCATAACATATGGTTAGTTTGCTCGCAATAAAATACTGTACAGTCGCAAAAACCCATTGTTTAAATGGGCTATTAATATTAATGAGTAATGGAGTAGAATTTTTAAAAAAATCTGCCACAAATTTAAAATAGGATTTTTTCCTGCAAAATTTATTTTTTTATGAAAATGTACACGTGTTTTGACAATTCTAAAATTTGTGAAACACTCAGTATATTCTAACATTTTTAAATTTGATTTTAACATTCTTAAAAATATTCTAAAATGTGTTTTTGACATCCTTCATAATAGTTCATTGGGACAATTATATTTTTGACATTTGAAAATGTATTTGTAACCCTCTAAAGTAGGTTTTTGGCATTCTTAAACAATTTCTAAACACAATATCCTATACCTAACTGATTTAGAATGTATTCTAAAATGTGTTTATTAAATTCTTTAATGTTTGTCAGTCTTAAATGTGTCTTGACATTCCAAATTGTTTTTTTAACAATTCTGCCTTAACACTCTTAAATAAGGTTTGCATTCTTTTAATAACCAAAGTTAAAACTCGTGCTGTATGTGGTAAAACATATACCTGGGAATTGGTTGTAAGAGACATCCAGCCCTCCCAACAGGGGCTGCGATTCCCTGTTGATGCCCGGAGAATCCAACGCTGGTTCGAAAACTACCTCGGGAACTAAAGGTACATCTTCCGAGTCACTGCAAGAGGCTATCGACAAGGCACAGTTCAACTCGTTCTCCGTTACGCTGGTGTTGACTAAAATTGGTACTGTCTCATTGGAACTCATCACCCGCGCAAACGACACCTTTTCGTCCAATTTATTAGCATTTATTTTCTATTTGTTTTTCTAACCTAACTTCTATCTTGTTTTTTGGTAAAGCTACAATCTCATTGTAATTGACTAGAATTTTAACTGGGAAAAGCGGATCAAACGGTTATTGGTATTACGTTGTATCAATTAACATCACAATAAATAAAGAGCTTCTTAAATAAATCACGAAGTCATCACATAATTTTTTGACACTACTTAAAAACAGATGACAGCTCGAGGTCATACAGTTTTATTGAAAAACAGCTATTTAATTTAATATCAAACGATATTAACTTGCCTTTTCGCTTCGCGTGCGATAAGGATAACGAAAACGCGAAATTAAACCCGATTTAACGAATATTTAGCATTTTTTAATCTACTTAATTTAGGGTGGCAAGCTTGAAAGAATGACGTATTCAGGTCTGTTCGCGAACCAATACCAAACTACCCATTTTAAATATTTTACGCGCATTCTGTTTGTTGACAACGGGATAAACTGCAATCATTTTGTTGTTTTGCGTAATTTAACTGTTTTTTAAATATAATCTTACGTTTCCGATTAATGACAAAAAATAGTAAGGTGTTGGGAAAAGGTACACAACTCAGTGCACACTTTCCACTTTTATTAAATTGAGAACAGACTTTATGAGTCATTCAATAAACCTGGTGATTTAATTTTTATTAGGTTGTTGGTTCGGAAATTTGACAAAAGGGTAGAAACGTCAGTCGGCTGTCATTCGACAATAAACATGAATACTTACAAAAACCTTCATTATTTCACTTTAATAGTGTGTTTGGCGATATTTCCTCACTTTGGCGAAGGTTCGTATTACAAAATGAGATAAATAATTGAAGGTTTAATTCATATAATCCACGTAATTTAATTTATCGCAAGTTTCGACTTGTGTCGCGTTCTGATTGGCCAGGATTTAAAATCTTCGTTTTCAAATAAATCACCTTTTTTTTGCAGCTGCCAAGCAAAAATACGTGACATGCGGGTCCGTAGTGAAACTTCTCAACACAGACTACAAAGTTCGCCTGCATTCTCACGACGTTAAATACGGAACTGGCAGTGGGCAACAATCTGTCACTGCCACCGAAGTGCAAGAGGACATAAACAGCCATTGGATAGTTAAGGGGGTCACTGGGGTGAGTTGCACAAGGGGGGAGCCCGTCAAATGCGGCAGCAGCATTAGGTTAGAACACACTGAGACAAAGAAAAATCTGCACTCGCATCATTTTTCCAGTCCGTTGAGTGGGAATCAGGAAATCAGTTGTTATGGGGATAATGGGGATGGCGATACTGGGGATCATTGGACTGTTGTCTGCTCAGGTATTTACTACTAGTAATAAATACAATATTTTTATATTTCAGCCTATGGAAGAGTTTTAAGAAATAGTTTTCCAATTATGTATAATAAAAATCATGTGCATAATTGAATCGTTGAGTTCAAGAACAGTACTAAGTCCATAATTTTAAATTTTGACGAATTATTTAAAAAAAAATTTATAGTTTAAAATGCATTTTGGTGAGGATTTTTCAACTATTGTACAAAAATATTTATTATATTTTATAAAATAGTTAAAAATGCATTTTAAACTAAAAAAATGATTTTTTAAAAAACTTAAAACGTAAAAAATTTAAATTTTGGACTTCTACTGTTCTTGATCTCACAGATTCAATTTTACTGATACAATTTTTAGGTGATAGCTGGTTAAGAGATGACAGTGTGATGTTAAAACATGCAGATACCGGCATGTACTTGTCAGCATCTGGGAGAACATTTGGGAGGCCCATTAATGGTCAGATGGAGGTTGTTGGAGTTTCCTCGTCCACAGGTTCAGTACATTGGCAAACAATGGAAGGGGTTTACCTACATGCTCCCGATTTAAGTGCAAGACACATACATTCTGTTCATTCAGAGCTGTAAACTATTTATTTTATTAGGGTAATTTTTGTACAATTCTATTTAATTTATTTGTGATATGCTGTGTGACTATTAAAGAATGTGTTTAAAATATTGTTTTTTTATAATAAAAATATCTACCTATTACAAATTAAAAAGGAAAAAAGGTTTTAAAATGAAATACAATTTTTATGTAAAAAAAGTTTATTTACAGCAATATTACAATAAATTAAAATAAATATAAATTATCTGATTCTAGTGTTCAGTGGGTTGACTATTTTTCCCGCCATGAGCGCCACATGCAAGTCTGCATCAATTACAAAATACAAAAACGGATGGTCGGCCCGAAAATGGACAGGGTCGGAATCGTGCAAATTTCCTAAAAATAAAAAAAATACAAAATTTGTTTTTGTTAATCGTTAACTTTATACAGGGTTTTCCCAAAATGGGGGAGTTATTTTTACATTGGAGTCGCAATTCGTAAAACGTACCACAAAAATAGTGGCGTTTTAATATTAACCAATAATTGATAAACATTTTTATATTTAATTTCGCCTAGGCCACAAATATTGCCAAATTGCTGAACTTCAATTTTAGCTTCTGGTGATTGTTTTGCGGAAAAACATTGTTTAAACTATTTATAAAACACCTGTAAAATTAAAAGTGTTGTTTTTTTCACATTTTATATACACTGCCCGTCAAAATTAACGCATAATAAGTAAAAAAAATCTAAACTCTAAAACGCCTTTACCAATCTTTATGAAATTTTGTATAAAAATACTTCAACTTATATCTCAGTTTACGTGTTCGAGGGTTTTTAAAAAAAAAATTTAAAGACCTTTATTTAAATCATAAAAAAACGTTCTAAAAATAGCTTTTAGAGAATTTTTTTTAAGTAAATTAAAAATATGGTGTTAAAAACCGTATTTTTGTTAGTATACCCTAAAAATTTTGTACAAATCAAACGTACAGTAACAGAGATACAGCGTTTCAAAGTCGGTAAAAATTACCCCTTTTTGATTATTTTTGACGACTTTGAAGCGCTTTATTTTCGTTACTGTTCGTTTGATTTGTACAACATTTTCAGGGTTTACTAACAAAAATTCGGTCTTTCACAGGATATTTTTTATTTACTTCAAAAAACATTTCCCTATAAAAAATTTTTTGAGCGTTTTACATTATTAAATAAAAGGGCTTTAAGGATATAAGTTAAAGTATATTCATCCAAAATTTTATAAAGATTGGTAAATGCATTTTAGAGTACTCCAATGTTGGATTTTTTTTTTACTTGTTATGTGTTAATTTTGACACGCAGTGTATTTTTTTAACATTCTTTTATTAATCCACTAAAGCATAGTTTTGTCCTCGACCAATTTTTCGCAAAGTAAACAAATTTTAATTTAACTGTAGAATGTAATTTAAAATTTTAGCAAAAACTCGGTTGACTTAAAAAAAAGTACCTAATACATTTTATGTGGGAAATTTAATTTTCCATAAAAATACCATACAAGTCGAATCTCTAAAATTAATATTTTAAGACTATTAAAGTGTTTCTATAAAGTTATAACTATTAAATTGTTTAGTTAGTAAAATAAAACATTATTTTAATAATAATAATTATTGAATTCTAGGTAATCAAATGGCTGTTTTCCATTAAGGATTCAAAAAAATAATTACCTAGGTAGCCTACCTATCTTATAGCTTATACTCTAAATTATTTTAAAATATTTACTTCTTTTTTTAATCTCTTTTTTTTTGTCTAGAAAGGTACCTACCTATACAAATTGTATTTAAATATTTAAATCTAAGATCACTCGATTTTTAGCGATACAATTTACATTTCCTGACAAAAAATTTCTTACCTTTATAATTATATAATTTATTTACTATAGAACATTATATTAATTTTGCCTTGCCAAGGAGAGGCAGTAATTTTAATTGGGTTGTTAAGTGCGAAAACGCTAATTGCAAGCAACGTTGGGATGTTTTGCAATTCGACAGGCTTAGTTTGTGTTTTGTTTTTAACAATGGTGCCAATTATTCCTCTATTAGTGTGGGAAGGAAGCTACCGCGTTACTTATCTACCCACCTCTTCCACTCTTATAATCGTTTTGTAAGACGAATCAAATGGAAATAATTAGTTTTAGTTTTATTTCAATCTACTTCATTAATTCGCAAAATTGCAGGCGTTATTTGGCTTATAAAGTCGCCTATGAAATTTGTAATCCTGGTTGCCTACCTACATTTAAACAGATGTCCGATAGAGCTCTCTGATTGGCGGCTTTAATAACTTGAATAACTCGTAATTTTGCGAATTCGAGAAAAATGGTAATATCAAGAGGAATTAGGAATACCTATGTGTAAAAAAATCTTACCATAATTGGGCAAATTGTCCAAATTGACGTAATTTCTTATGGTAACTGTAACGGCTTGCTCTATATTTGTCACATAGGTCTCCTTATCTTTGGTCATCGGTGTAAAGTCTGCGTGACGGGGTTCAAAAATTTTACGTATTCCCAACTAAAAAAAAACAACCTAAAAACCTAAAAAGTTCGCAAACCACAAATACCTTTTGTAACGTTGGAGTTAAAACCACATATCCTTTAAGCATGAAACTCGGTATAGTCGCCTTAACTCTGGTCAATTTCAAATTCTCAATGATGAACTTCAAACTCCCATTCAGCCTCAAATCGCATATCAAATCGTTAATACCGTCGACATTCAAAGGCAGCAATAGCAACAAGTAATACTTGGTGTTATCCAAAGGAAAACTCAACGCTAAAGCGTTCAGATGCGGCACGTATAAAAACGGCAACACCGCATCGTATTGCATGAAGTTCACCCCGGATTCGCGGTACTTCCCGTGCGCGTAGAAGGTGAGGGGTTCCTCAGGGACGTAGCCTGGGGCCTCTTTGTGATGATGGTGGTCGTAGGAATCGTACGAGTTGTCGTAGTATTTTGCTATGATGTAATCTACCACGCTACGGGCGCTCCTTTTCAGTGTTGTGGCGTTGTTTTGCACCAGAAGATTTTCTCTGCTGTCCACTTCCGGGTAGAAATCTGGCGCCACTGTAGAGTCGCCGTAGAATGGATACTCGTAGGGCTCTTGTGTCGGCAGTATTTCCTGTATAAAAGGTTCCTGGGTCGAAAAATATTCCAGGTTTGTTGTTGTGGTATCGAATGGGACAATTGTTGTTATTGCAAAGTTGGTAGTTAAAATGTTTTCGGTTATTGATGCTATTAGATCATCGTTTGGCAATGTTGTTTCTGTAGGAGTTAAGTTGGTTGATTCAGCGGTTATTTCAGTGGAAACTGAAACAAGTACAAAAACTACAGAGAAAGTTTTGTGTTGTTGGCTGAAGAGATAGGTCGCTTGATGAAAGAGTATTGAAACATGTTCCTTGAGAGGACAATATAAAACTCCCAGCACAAAAATACCCTGGTTGTAACATTAATGCAAAATCTACAATTAATTAAGTGATTCCCAAATGATTTCCACTATGGATGGTAAAAATAATTAAGGAAAATCTGTGTCAATCTTCTTCATGGTGCATGGTTGGAATGTATTGAAAAGAAATATGGGTGGTTTTCAGTAACTTTTAAGATACCATGTCCACTTGGGTATTAAAACTAAAAACTACTAGAAAGGCATATTTTTTATCGATTTATAATACCAAAAGTTCAATATCCTATGAATTTATTTTTTAATTTTGGGTTTAAAACTCCTATTTCACATGACCGTCGTACGTCCCTCGAGCAAAATCCAATATTTGCGATCTTCTAAAAATTGAATTTAACTTTCAAGTAGCCAAAGAAAATGATATTGAAGAAATGTTTTTGTGATATAAAAGTGTGAAAAAAAAATAATTTAAGTGATATAGTAAACATTATTTTAAAATGAACTATGGACAATAATAATTTAAAATAAATGGTTCAAGGGATGAGTTGTACTCAGATTCTCTTACAGAGGATGGTCATTTTTGGGAACGTCAAAACTTCTATTTTTTGTGATCAGTTCTCGCGTATTTTGGACAGGTTTTGGTTAAATAGTTTAAAGACACATATTTACAAAGATTACATTTTTTTTGGAACTCACATGTTTATAATCCTTAAGTGAACTACAAACATAATTTTTTTATTTGTTTAATAAAAATCATATTTTAGGATTAGTAATAAAACAAAGCATAAAGGAATTAACCTATTTTCTTTTCTAAATAATAAATAAAAAATTATATAAAAAACTCAAAATATGTGAAATGAGTAAATGATTTAAAATTTACACCACTGTAATACAGTTTACCTGTAGTTCCCTCTGTAGTCGTCATTGGTGTAGTACCAACTGTAGTGCTAGTAGGCATCATTGTTGTAGTTTCCTCTACTTCCCTGGTTGTAGTCTTCGCCTCTGTAGTCGATTCCTTAACACTCGTGGTCTCCATTGTGGTTGTAGCTTCTGTACTCTGTACTGTACTCTCAGGCATTACAGTTGTAGTTTCATTATTTTTTGTTTCAACATCAGCGGATAGCGTACTGTTTTCTGTAGTAATTTCCGTTGAAGTTTCAGCAAGGCTTTTAAGTGTGGTAACCTCCATTTTCTTTGTAGTGGGTAACTCGGTTGCGGTCATTTCTGTGGTCATTTTTACTTCCGTAGTAGGTTGCATTGTGGTCATTTTTACTTCCGTAGTAGGTTGCATTGTGGTCATTTTTACTTCCGTAGTAGGTTGCATTGTGGTAATATTCATTTCTTTGGTCTCGGTAACCATTGTAGTTGTTGATTCAGGTTTCTCTGTGGTCATTGGTGCGGGGTACAGAGCATTGTTGAAAGAGGCCACATCGAAACCATAGAACTTGAGAATGTCCTCGTAGTTTGAGTTTAGAGTGACATTGTCGTGGTTTAGCGTAAGGCCAGCCAAAAATCCTTCTTTTGGTATGAAGTAGCTCTGAAAGTAATGTAATTATTATGTCAAGGTTCAGTATTGAAGTTTTAGAGCAAATCCTTTTAAGTAGGTTAAAAACACTTAAAATGATAAAATGTTAATATTCTAAATAAGGTTTGAGGTTTTAATTTGACAGGAAAGATACCAGAATAGACACCCCGTATAAATACATAAGTAATTAGAATTAATTTTAATTTGTTTTGCATTTACTTACGTAAACAAATTTGAAGGAAAAAGTATTATATATAGTAAGTATAGTCTTATCGAAAAAGTGTTCCCATTAGATACCGCGATGATGAAGGTTAATGTCGTATTTTTTTGTATAAACTTTGTTCGAATTTTGGGACAGTCTGTGAGTGACTATGAAGTATTAATAAATAAGGCCATAGAAGAAGCGAATAGTTATACACTTGATACTGACGCTTCTAGGTACAAACCCAAGTCAGAAGACATACATGGTAAGGAATGATACAATCAATATTTCGGTTTGATACCTAAGATGTATATTATTAGATTTTGGTGATTTTGACTACATAATTTTGGGAGGCGGCACGACTGGTTGCGTTATAGCAAATCGCCTCTCAGAAATACAGACATCAAAAGTTTTGATCTTGGAGGCTGGGCAGATTTCAAACAGTGTTAAAACTGAGATTCCTTCACTGTATAGCCAAGCTGGTGTAAGTGACTTTAACTGGGGATTTTACAGCACCCCACAGAAATACGGATGCCAAGGTAATCTTCTACTAATGTAGGTCAATACAACGCATAACTAAAAAATGTTTTCCAGGTTTTGTAAATAAATCTTGCCCGTGTCCAAGAGGTCGAGGCGCAGGGGGAACATCACTCATCCACGGTTTGATAAACTCGAGAGCTAACAAAATAGATTTTGATCGACTAGCTGCATTGGGGAGTTCTGATTGGTCGTACTCAAACGTGCTGAAGTACTACAAAAAATCCGAGACCCTCACACAGACAAATCCACTGGCGACTATATACCCGAAATACCATGGATATAACGGACCATGGAGCGTGGAAAATCTCAACATTGAAAACCCACGAACTACAGCCTTCATAGGCGGAAATTTGGAATTGAAGTCCAAAAAAACAGATTATAACAGCGCGTACGAGGATGGAGTGTCGCGTTTGCAAGTCAGCAAAAAAGATGGAAAACGAGCTGATACTGCTACTTCCTATTTAGTTCCGATTCTTAATAGAAGCAACTTGGTTGTATCAGTGGAAAGCTTCGTATTGAAAATAGAAATAGATCCTGAGACTAAATGTGCCCAGAGCGTTCTGTTCACCAAAAACGGTACTGTATTCAGAGCCAACGCAAAGAGGGAAGTAATACTTTCTGCTGGCGCATTTAATTCACCACAGATCCTGCAACTATCTGGTGTTGGACGACGAAGTGAACTGAGTAAATTTAATATATCAGTTGTTAGTGATTTGGGCGCGGGTGAAAATTTAATTGATCACGCCGTGATTTCTCTAACCTTAACACATAACACCACAGATCCAGAAGCCAACCTAACGAAATCCATAGAGGATTTTCTTGATAATAAAGGTGTGCTGGCGTCTACAGGCGCGGAAGGTGTAGTTTTTTTCGGGAAGTATCCTGAAATTAAGTTGGTGAACCTGGCGAGTGTACCAAGTCCCGTACCGAACGTAAATTTAAAGGTATCTAGATATTCACCTTCTACATTACTGGATTTAGCACTCTCTAACCCTAAAAAATCGTTTGGTTTTCTGGCAAATGTTCTGGCCACACGTTCAGTAGGTTCAGTTACCCTTAAAAGTAACTCCCCATATGATTACCCCCTAATAAACTCAAACGTACTGTCGAACGCACAGGATCTGGAGAACCTCTACCGCCTGGTGGAAAAAGTCAGGAGCCTTACAGAAACAAACGCCTTCAAAAAAATCGACGCCAAACTCGTCACCCCAAAACTATCAGCTTGTAAAGGCAGCGAATTCGACTCCAAAGACTATTGGTTCTGCGTGTTCAAAGAACTGGCTTTTCCAGCGTATCACCCCATGGGTACCTGCGCTATGGGGAAGAATCCTAAAAAGGGGGCTGTTGTAGATCCAAAATTAAGGGTGTTTGGGGTGAAAAAGTTGAGGGTTGCAGATGCATCAGTTTTTCCTTTCCCTATTAGAGCTCATCCTGCTGCCAACTGTGTTATGTTGGGGGAGATGGTTTCTGATTTTGTCAAAAATAATAAAAATAAACAATGCCATTGTTAAATAGGTATTTATATTAAAACATGTGTTTGTGTGTCATTTTTTATCATAATGTATTCAAATTGTTTTAAAATATTTTTAAATTTATAAAAAAAATCAAAATGTTTTTATTCCTCATTCCTATTATTTTTAATTGTGAGACACCTTTATAAAAAAATCTATTGGTTGGTGAGATTTATATCTGAAGAGTTGACACAACCATATAACTACTAATTAATTCAGTTGGAGAAATAGAATATTTGTTTATTCTAGATATTTAGTTTAATGAATATACTGGTGATTTTGACAACATAATTTTAGTACTTGGTAAACGCAGACAACTGCATTTTAAAATAGTAGTTAAATGACAAAATATATCTTCGAAACTTTCTCAATCCACATTATTTGAAATGTTTACAATAAATTCTTAATAAAACATTAAAAACTCTTCAATTTGGAGTAATCGAATAAATTAATCTTCCGTTAGAAGTTTTCCGTATTGTTGAACAACAAACAATGAAATTCCAAGACACCCTGTATAAATGTTTTTTCAACATTTTAAGACCAATTTTAATTGGTCCATGACTTTCTTGAAATCAATAAAATATAGCACAGGTAATTAATTAAAATTCTAATCATAATAAAACGTGTTTTTAATAAATGACCAACAAAAAAAAACCTCAAAACTGGCCCACGTAAAACACATTACCTACATCAAACGAAATGTTTAAGCTTGCAGTTGCTCTAATTGTGCTACTTGTGTTTGAACAAGTGATTTCTGAAACGACCGAAGAAAAAATCAGCGATTTCGAAAATAAAATAAACGAAGCCATCAAACATGCCGATGAATACATTTTGGACACCGACGCTTACAAATACAAACCCAATTCCGATGACGTCGAATACTTTGGTTGTTTTGACTTTATAATCATTGGGGGTGGTACCACTGGGTGCGTTTTGGCCAACCGGCTTTCGGAAATGGAAGACTCGACTGTGCTGCTTTTGGAGGCTGGAAAAATATCCGAGGAAGTGGTAACAAAAGTCCCCCAACTTCACTCGCAAGCTGCTTTGAGTGAATATAACTGGGGATTTTATACTACTCCGCAAGAGCATGCTTGTCAAGGATTTAAGAACAAGGCCTGTCCGTATCCTAGAGGCAGAGGGGCAGGTGGAAGCTCCCTAATCAGTTCTTTGGTTTACTCGAGAGCTAGTTACTTTGACTTCGCAAGACTTGATAATCAAACTGGCACAAAATGGCTTGGTAAAGTTTTGAAGTACTACAAGAAATCTGAAAATTTTTCAAAATCGCATAAAAAAGGTACAGTGTTTCATAAGTTGCATGGCCATCATGGAGAATGGAGTGTGGAGAACGTCCAAATAGAAACATCTATAAGCAAAGCCTTTGTTAAAGCTAACTTGGAATTAAATTACAACATAACTGATTGTAACAGTATAAACCAAACTGGAGTATCGCTACTACAACTGAATACAAAAAATGGTGAGCGACACGACACAGCATCAGCCTTTTTACTACCAATTATCAACAGAGATAACTTAAATGTATCACTAGAAAGCTTTGTAATGAAAATAGAAATAGACGCGGACACTAAAGTAGCGAATAGTGTTTTATTCAGCAAGCACGGTAAATTATATAGAGCTAATGCACAGAAAGATATCATCCTATCAGCAGGTTCTATTGGTAGCCCACACATTCTTCAACTATCAGGTGTAGGGAGAGAATCCGAACTCAAAAAGCACGGCATCGCAGTTATCAAAGACCTACCTGTTGGTGGGAATTTGAGAGACCACATGGCCCTTGCTGTGACCCTTAAACATAACACCAGCCTCCCCGATGTAACACTTAGATCTGCCATACAAAAATATCTAAATAATGAGGCGGGGATGCTTTCATTCGCCGGGCAAGACTGGGTTGGGTTTTATGATTGGTTGGGAAGCGACTATCCCAATCAGGAATTAATGATGCTTCCGGACTTTGAGGTCATCAAAGATACGGATGATAAGTTGAAGAGGTATACAGAAGAGAGTTTGAGGGATAAAAGAGATAGTTTGCCAGATAAAATGTTTCAGATATTAGCGATAAATTTATACTGTGAATCAGTGGGTTCGGTGACTCTAAAATCCGATAGTCCCTTTGATTACCCCCTGATAAACATTAACTCTTTTTCGAACGATATCGATGCGGATCACTTATACGGCATAATACTAAAAATTAAACACCTAACCACAACGACTGCGTTTAGGCAAATAAATGCCAAAGTAGCACCTCCAAAACTAAGAGCTTGTAGTGGGTACGAGTATGATTCGAAAGACCATTGGTACTGCATTATAAAACATTTTGCTTATGCGGCCTATCATCCAATAGGCACTTGCGCTCTAAAATCTGTGGTGGATAATGACTTAAATGTTCATGGAATCGATCGATTGCGCGTTGTTGATGCATCTGTCTTTCCCTTTCCTCTACGAGCCCATTCTGCAGCCAGCTGCGTCCTTCTGGGTGAGATAAGTTCGGATTTGATTAAGAATGATTATTATTATGTCGATTATGATTAGTTTTAAAATAAATTTGGTGTTTTATCTTTTAATGTTTTTATTTTGTAATTATATTTTAATAAATAAAGTGGTTATTTGTGTTAATTTGTTATCTAATATTTGTTAGATTACATGGCGTTTTAAAACACATTTTACATATTTTTTATGTGATAAGAAACTTGAGATACACTTAACATAGGTAGGTATATATAAAAAAGTGGTTTCCAATACTCACACGTTCAGTCAAAATGTTGAAGCTATTATGTACATTAGTTTTATTAGTAATTTTGGTAGCTGTTCACTGCCAAAATCATAAAGATTTTGTTGAAGAATATGAAGACAGGATCAGTGAAGCTATCAAGGATGCCAATACATACAAACTAGACACAGATGCGCATAGATACAAACCAAAATCAAATGAAATAAGAGGTAAAAATAAATTAATTGTTTACATTATTTTTAAAATGTGTTCGCTATTTGTGCCAGATTTTGGAGAATTCGATTATATAGTAATAGGCGCTGGTACTGCTGGTTCGGTGGTGGCAAGTCGCCTTTCAGAAATACCATCGAAAAGAGTCTTGCTACTAGAGGCGGGTAAAGCGTCATCTACAGTAACGGAAGTCCCCCAACTAGCAGGTCAAGCGGCTTTCAGCGACTACAACTGGGGATTTTACAGCACCCCCCAGAAACAAGCATGCCAAGGTAATGGTGTCGCTGTTATATCCTATATATACGTTATATCCTATATGTTGATTTTTTAGGTTACAAAGATAACAGATGCGTCTTTGCGAGAGGCAGAGGAGCTGGCGGCAGCTCCCTAATAAACTACTCCGGATACTCTAGATTCAGCGTTTACGACATGCAGAGACTCTCTGAACTCTCGGGGTACGAATGGACGGTTGATTACTATAAAAAATCCGAGAACTTCACGCAAACCAATGGCGACGCTGTCATCGAGCAAGCAGCGCATGGCACCACCGGACCATGGCACGTCGAAAACTCGCAAACCAATAACGTAAGGAGTGACGCCTTTAGAGACGCCAATGAGGAATGTGGACAACATCTAAGGGACTACAACACTGTGTTCCACGAAGTTAGTGTTGGAGTTGTGCAGTTGAATAAGAAAAACGGCAAGAGGGCTGACACCTTTACAGATTTCGTGATGCCGGTCAAGGATAGAAGCAATCTGAATGTGAGTTTGGAGAGTTACGTGGTAAGAGTTGAGATTGGTGCCGAAACAAAATCCGCCGATGGCGTGTTGTTCACCAAAAACAATATTCTTTATAGGGCGAAAGCCACAAGCGAGATAATAGTATCGGGAGGTGCGGTTAACTCTCCACAAATTCTACAATTATCAGGTTTGGGTCGACCGGCTCTCCTGAACAAGTTCAACATCCCGGTTGTACAGGATTTAGCTGTTGGGGAGAACTTACGAGACCACGTTGCTTTTCTCATTACCATGAGCCACAACGTCACAGATGAAGGTGTGGATTTGAAATCAGCGGTGGAAGAATTTTTGGACAACAAAGGCGTTCTAACAGCCGCTGGTGTGGATTGGGTTGCGTTCTATGATTCAACTCGCGGCGAATACCCTGACATGGAGCTAGTGATGATGCCTAATTTACCAACCCCCGTACCAGAAATGGGTGCTAAACTCTTCAATTTCACCAAGGAAGCTATGGCTGATGTGATCGCAAGCACCCCTCCAAAATTTTTCAGGTTTTTAGCGTTCCTATTGGACACTGAATCGGTTGGTTCTGTATCACTTCAAAGTGATTCTCCGTTCGATTACCCCCTAATCAACAATAACATCCTTTCTGAAACCGAGGACTTGGAGAAACTGTACACTCTGATAAACATCGTGAGAAACCTCACACGGACAGAAGGGTTTAAGAGAATCGACGCCAAACTGGTAACCCCGAAACTGTCAGCTTGCAAGGGCAGCGAATTCGACTCCAAAGACTATTGGTTCTGCCTTTTCAGACAGTTCGGTCTTCCTGGGTACCACGCTATAGGATCTTGCGCTCTAGGTAAAGACCCGAAGGAGGGAGCGGTAGTGGACCCGCAGTTCAAAGTTCACGGTGTTGAAAAGTTGAGGGTGGCCGATTGTTCCGTGCTTCCGTTTCCCATTAGAGCACATACCGCCGCCACGTGCGCCATGGTCGGCGAAATGGTGTCTGACTTTATTAAGAACGAGTGTTAGAATTCTACGTTAATAAAATATTGTTGTACAAAATGAATATTATTTCTATAATATACCCAAGCAACACACTCATTTGCATAATCGTTTAATAAACGTATAATAAACCATTTAATCGTATATTTTTGGTTTTGGTATAATTATTTAACATATATTAAGCGTTTTTTATAAACGTACATATTTTAGTCGTATATTCTACGTACTTGATATACTATTTTAAAATCATAAAATTATCAATTTAATATATAAATTTATATTAATCACCCAATCTATATATATATTATAAAAACAACTATAAAGCATGTTTATGAAATTGGAATTATTTACCCTTATCAAATTTGTTTACATTCAAGTGTTTTGTAAACGTTTTTTTTATATATATATTTTTATGTAAGCTCAACGTCTAAAAATACGAGAAATCTACGTCTATAAATTTTGTTGTTGTAAGCTGTAAGGTGGAGACCCCTGCCTCATCGTTTAATGAAAAAGGGTAATACAAAAAAATAATAATAATATAAGGTTTAATTTAATTGGCCAAATAGCTGTAATCGTCTCGTTGTGAAATGTTTAACTAAAAACCTACATAGTAACTACAGTTCTTTTTCAAGGTATCATACTTACTTATTGTCAGGAATTGTTTAAATAAAACACTAGCATGCTCATTTTATGACTTATTTATTTATAAGATCAGAGGTGCCACTATTTCTCTGTGGTTTAAAAAAAACGCGGTAAAACGTTGAGTAAAGAGTTAATTAATTTCATTTGTAATCTTGTCAATATTGTACACTTGTATGAACATATAAGTAATTTTAAATATTTCTTTGGTCCAGTACTTAAATAAATTATTTTACTACAACTCAATCAATGCTCGAAACAAGATCTAAATGTCTGCAATTTGCGTAGTTAAAATAAGGTTAGGATTATGGTCAATCCAAGGAGACCCTGATCCAAAACATAATAGTAGTCAAAATCATTCCAATTATACCGTGCCGTATTCGCGTAGTTAAAGTAAGGTTAGGATTATGGTCAATCCAAGGAGACCCTGATCCAAAACATAATAATAGTCAAAATCATTCCAATTATACCGTGCCGTATTCGCGTAGTTAAAGTAAGGTTAGGATTATGGTCAATCCAAGGAGACCCTGATCCAAAACATAATAGTATTCAAAATCATTCCAATTATACCGTGCCGTATTCGCGTAGTTAAAGTAAGGTTAGGATTATGGTCAATCCAAGGAGACCCTGATCCAAAACATAATAATAGTCAAAATCATTCCAATTATACCGTGCCGTATTCGCGTAGTTAAAGTAAGGTTAGGATTATGGTCAATCCAAGGAGACCCTGATCCAAAACATAATAGTAGTCAAAATCATTCCAATTATACCGTGCCGTATTCGCGTAGTTAAAGTAAGGTTAGGATTATGGTCAATCCAAGGAGACCCTGATCCAAAACATAATAGTAGTCAAAATCATTCCAATTATACCGTGCCGTATTCGCGTAGTTAAAGTAAGGTTAGGATTATGGTCAATCCAAGGAGACCCTGATCCAAAACATAATAGTATTCAAAATCATTCCAATTATACCGTGCAGGTAGAGTGGTGAACCAAGAATATATACTGAGACCCTGAACCTCGTCGATAAAAATAACGACGGTGTTAACAACTTATTGTGTGTAAAGCCATTTAGGCAAGTTTGTAAACCATTTTGGTAATAATATTGTTGTATTTACCCTTTAGGTAATATACTTTTAATTGTGACACAGGTGACACATTTCTTATTGTGCCATTTTGGCGATATATTTGTTATTGTGCCATTTAGGCGACATATTTATTATTGTACCATTTAAGGCGATATATTTGTTATTGTGCCATTTAGGCAACATATTTATTATTGTGCCATTTAAGGCGATATATTTGTTATTGTGCCATTTAGGCAACATATTTATTATTGTGCCATTTAAGGCGATATATTTGTTATTGTGCCATTTAGGCGACATATTTATTATTGTGCCATTTAAGGCGATATATTTGTTATTGTGCCATTTAGGCGACATATTTGTTATTGTGCCATTTAAGGCGATATATTTGTTATTGTAACTTTTTATATTTAATCTTCAAGGAACATGGTCAAATCATATACATAAATCAAGGGACCTTAAACCCTAATAATAAATAGTGTTATTTTTCACTTGTCTCGATAAGTCAATTGAAAACACAGATATTAATCAAACTGTAAAACTGGACCAATCACAATAATAATACTAAATGTAATATTGATACAAATTTAGTTTAAGAGTGTGTAATTTGATAATTTCATAATAACGTTTAACATTATGTATTCTAATAATTTGTAATATTTGTAAACGTATGTTTATTATAGCATTCAAAATATAAATCAAAGTTTAATTCAATGTTTTTCTAAATAATAAATAATTGAGAAAAATAGGCATTTGTTTGAGGTACGTGACTACAAGTATTGCGTAATGGCAGCCGTTGGAGAAATTAAAACATGTAAATCAATCATTTACAACAAAATATGTATTATAAATAATATCAGACTAACCTGTATATTCTTCTAATATGAAAGAACCACAATGTACGAAGATTACCATATTCTTTTAAAAGTTTTTCTGTTTATTAATATTCGCTTCACGTGTGTAGTCACCAACAGCCAACACCCTAATAATTCAATCGAAAAACCTTTTTTTCGAGCCTCCTTCCCACCATCATCAAATAATGGACTCGTCCAAAAACCGTAGAAACTTCTTTATGCATGCGCATCGTAAAAGTTTCTGTCAATTCTTTTTAAGGATTAACAGCACTACTTCAAATATTAATTAAATAAGTAACCTATTTACGATAACTAGATAATTCACAATAATCTTCTAAACCCAATTATTACATTATTATAAAATAATATTAATTATACAACCAAAAATACACAGCTGTATAAACAGTTGCCTATAACTAAAAGCATAAAATTGTAATTAAATAATAATATTCAATTAGGGATATTTTAATATTAAAAAAATATAAGTAAGATAAGTACAGAATTCTTCAAGACAAGTGACATTTTTCAGAGAATACTAAGGGTGGGTCACCACCCTACAAAGCCAAGTAATATTTAAATGTATTTATCACCGCTAACAAATTTGTTAGCGATAGAAACAATGTTTATGTCATATATTAGCTGGATATTTGATTTTGTACCTAAATAAAAATAAAGTTGTCTATCGTTTTCCTAAAAATAAACGTTACTTATAGGTACCAATAATTTTCTACGTGGTTCAGTAACTGAACTTCAGTTTTCATAATACTTGTATACATATGTTCATGGTTCGCACTGTTTCGGTATTACTCGTAACTAAGACGATTGTTTAAACCAATAGGCGCGTGTCACGTGATCATTCCTTCTAGACGCTTCGTTTTGCCGTTACCGGTCACATGTGTCCTGTGTTGATAATGGCTGCCGTATAAGTTATGTTTACTGTTTACTGTTAGTGGATAGCGATTAATTTATTGTATTGTTTGGTGGGAATACAGCTAATAAAGTAAGTTTATACCTACTTTAATTGAAATTTCAGATTACTTAATTTGCACCAAATAACTAATAGGTAATTGGTGTTTTTATTTGACGAAGCCGGCAAAAATCCGTAACCTTTGCAGAAGTTTTAACCATGCGACATATTCGTTTTGCATTAAATTAGATGGTTTATTTTTGGATTAGGTTAACATCACTTTAGAATTTTTAAAATAATCAATATTTTTTATTTTTTTAAAGATCTATTATTGGTTTATGGTATACTATTTATAAACGTACATTATAACCACTTATTTATTATATTTTTATTTTACCACAGAATAAAAAGTTAAAAGTTATTTAAAATATATGTAAACAGTCGTACTTTTTAGTAACATTGTTTTTTACTGTTTTACAGAGGCAGTAAAACTGTCCTTTCAAGGAAAAGATCAAGTCCAGGGAAATAACTGACAAAGCCATAGGACAAGCCTGTCAAGATTGGCTCAAATTATCAAAGCAATGATTCAATGATGTTAAAACTTAACATTTGTTTAATTAGTTATTTTAAAATAATAAATAATTATTTATGAAAATATATTCGTTTGTCATCTGCTCAGTTTCTTTTTAAACTTTTTTTTTTACCTTGGAGTTACTACTACACTTACACAGGTAAGTTTTTGCAAATCTGGAAAGAATATGCCTCACTTAAATTAAATGCAAAGAATAAATATAGTAAATTTTACTGTAATTTTAATTATCAATGCATTGATAACCGTAAAACCATGCATGGTTTTACGATTTTAATTTAATGAAAATGGAATTATTAGAGAGCTCTAAAAATATTAAAAAATCATTCAAATGTAAAAACTTTTGTTTTTATTTTCTTTTTCCAGATTAGCAGAGCCGCGGCCTAAACAATAATGTTATGTAAAAAATTTCACCTTAAAATAATATTCAATATTAACGTATATCGTTTATGGCTTTTAGAAGTTTTTGATAAACGTTTAATTTTGGTATATTATATATTAAAATGTAACCTTTATAAAAAACAGATATTTAATTGTCAAGTTTGTATTATAAATAAACGTATAGTGTAGACGTTTAAAATATGGATATTGCTATATTATGCATCAACCTATATTAGGCGGACATTTTAACCTATATTAGAGGTAGACAATAAACCAATGATATACCATTGGTATAGACAAATATTAAACGTCTATTAGACGATTTTGTGTTGCTTGGGTAGTAAAAGGAAAAAAAGATACTAATAGAAACAATTAATCTTCCATTGGAAGTTTTCCGTATTGCCGAACCACAAACAATAAAATTCTAAGACACCCTGTATAAATGTTTTTTTTTTAACATTTTAAGACCAATTTTAATTGGTCCATGACTTTCTTAAAATCAATAAAATAAAGCACAGGTAATTTATTAAAATCCTAACCATAATAAAACGTGTTTTTAATAAATGACCAAAAAAAATTTAGTTAATTGCCCGCGTAAAAAACATTACCCACACCAAACGAAATGTTTAAGCATAAGCTGATGAATACGTTTTGGACACCGAAGCGACGCCTACAAATACAATCCCAATTCCGATGACGTCGAATACTTTGGTTGTTTTGATTTTATAATCATTGGGGGTGGTACCACTGGGTGCGTTTTGGCCAACCGGCTTTCAGAAATGGAAGACTCGACTGTACTGCTTTTGGAGGCTGGAAAATATCCGAGGAAGTGGTAACAGAAGTCCCCCAACTACACTCGCAAGCTGCTTTGAGTGAATATAACCGGGGATTTTATACCACTCCGCAAGAGCACGCTTGTCAAGGGTTTGAGAATAAGGCCTGTCCGTATCCTAGAGGCAGAGGGGCAGGTGGAAGCTCCCTAATCAGTTCTTTGGTTTACTCGAGAGCTAGTTACTTTGACTTCGCAAGACTTGATAATCAAACTGGCACAAAATGGCTTGGTAGAGTTTTGAAGTACTACAAGAAATATGAAAATTTTTCAAAATCGCACAAAAAAGGTACAGTGTTTCATAAGTTGCATGGCCATCATGGAGAATGGAGTGTGGAGAACGTCCAAATAGAAACATCTGTAAGCAAAGCCTTTGTTAAAGCTAACTTGGAATTAAATTACAACATAACTGATTGTAACAGTATAAACCAAACTAGAGTATCGCTACTACAACTGAATACAAAAAATGGCGAGCGACACGACACAGCATCAGCCTTTTTACTACCAATTATCAACAGAGATAACTTAAATGTATCACTAGAAAGCTTTGTAATGAAAATAGAAATAGACGCGGACACTAAAGTAGCGAATAGTGTTTTATTCAGCAAGCACGGTAAATTATATAGAGCTAATGCACAGAAAGATATCATCCTATCAGCAGGTTCTATTGGTAGCCCACACATTCTTCAACTATCAGGTGTAGGGAGAGAATCCGAATTCAAAAAGCACGACATCGCAGTTATCAAAGACCTACCTGTTGGTGAAAAATTGAGAGACCACATGGCCTTTGCTGTGACCCTTAAACATAACACCAGCCTCCCCGATGTAACACTTCTGATCTGCCATACAAAAATATCTAAATAATGAGGCGGGGATGCTTTCATTCGCCGGGCAAGACTGGGTTGGGTTTTATGATTGGTTGGGAAGCGACTATCCCAATCACGAATTAATGATGCTTCCGGACTTTGAAGTCATCAAAGATACGGATGATAAGTTGAAGAGGTATACAGAAGAGAGTTTGAGGGATAAAAGAGATAGTTTGCCAGATAAAATGTTTCAGATATTAGCGATAAATTTATACTGTGAATCAGTGGGTTCGGTGACTCTAAAATCCGATAGTCCCTTTGATTACCCCCTGATAAACATTAACTCTTTTTCTAACGATATCGATGCGGATAACTTACACGGCATAATACTGAAAATTAAACACCTAACCACCACGACTGTGTTCAGGCAAATAAACGCCAGGGTAGTCCCCCCAAAACTGAGCTTGTAGTGGATACGAGTACGATTCAAGAGACCATTGGTAGTGCATTATAAAACAACTTGCTTATGCGGCTTATCATCCAGAGGCACTTGAGCTCTAAAATCTGTGGTAGACTATGACTTAAATGTTCGTGGAATCGAAAGATTGTTGATGCATTATTTCTTTCCTCTATGAGCTCACTCTGCAGCCAGCTGCGTTCTTCTGGGTGAGATAGGTTTGGATTTTATTAAAAATGATTATTATTAAGTATGCCGATTATGATTATTAGTTTAAAAATAAATTCAGTAAAGTGTGTTTTAATTTTAATTATATTTTAATGAACCGTTTTTTATGGAGTGGTTATCTAATAATTGTGATATTACAAGGCGTTTTCAGATACATATGTATATTTTTAATGTGATAAGAAACTTAAGATACACATATTAGTTATATGTATATGAAAAAGTGATTTCCAATACTCACACGTTCAGTTAAAATGTTGAATCTATTTTGTGCGATGATTTTATTAGTAATTTTGGCAGGTGTTCACTGCCAAAATCATAAAGATTTAGTTGAAGAATATGAAGATAGAATCAGTAAAGCTATCAAGGATACCGATACATACACACTAGATACAGATGCGTATAGATACAAACCTAAATCAAATGAAATAAAATGTAAAAAGAACCTAATTTCTTATCAATACATTATACATTATTTTCAAAATGCATATATCAATTGTGCTAAGTATCAATCACGTAATTCAAGTGATGTTCAGGTCTTGAAGCTGGTTCCAATGGCCTTCTAGATCTCCAGATCTCAATGCATGTGTTTTTCTAAGGGTGTATTTAAAAAATCTTTACCAGAAGGGCAAGGAGAGTATCTGTAAGCCAGCTTCATCACCTTGGTTGAGGATACGTATATATACGAATCAGTTTACTAAATCATTCTTTCCAGATTTTGGAGAATTCGATTATATAGTAATAGGCGCTGGTACTGCTGGTTCGGTGGTGGCAAGTCGCCTTTCAGAAACACCATCGAAAAGAGTCTTGCTACTAGAGGCGGGTAAAGCGCCATCTACAGTAACTGAAGTCCCCCAACTAGCAGGTCAAGCGGCTTTCAGCGACTACAACTGGGGATTTTACAGCACCCCCCAGAAACAAGCATGCCAAGGTAATGGTGTCACTGTTATATCCTATATATATGTTATATCCATTGTGTTGATTTTTTTAGGTTACAAAGATAACAGATGCGCCTTTGCAAGAGGCAGAGGAGCTGGCGGCAGCTCCCTGATAAGTTACTCCGTATACTCTAGATTTAGCTTTTACGACATGCAAAGACTCTCTAATCTCACAGGATACGAATGGACGATTGATTGTTATAAAAAATCAGAGAACTTCACGCAAACCAATGCCGACGCTATCATCGAACAATCAGCGCATGGCACCACTGGACCATGGCACGTTGAAAACGCACAAACTAATAACGTAAGGAGTGATGCCTTTAGAGACGCCAATGAGGAATGTGGACAACCTTTAAGGGACTACAATACTGTGTTCCATGAAGTTGGTGTTGATAATTTGCAGTTGAATAAGAAACACGGTAAGAGGGCTGATACCTTTACAGATTTCGTAATGCCGGTCATGGATAGAAGCAATCTGAATGTGAGTTTGGAGAGTTACGTAGTTAGAGTCGAGATTGATGCCGAATCAAAATCTGCTGATAGCGTGTTGTTCACCAAAAACAATGTTCTATATAGAGTGAAAGCCACAAAAGAGATCATAGTATCGGGTGGTACGGTTAATTCTCCACAAATTCTGCAATTATCAGGTGTGGGTCGACCAGCTCTACTGAACAAGTTCAACATCTCGGTTGTACAGGATTTAGCGGTTGGGGAAAACTTACGGGACCACGTTGCTCTCGTAATCACCATGAGCCACAACGTCACAGATGAAGGTGTGGATTTGAAAACAGCGGTGGAAGAATTTTTGGATAACAAAGGCGTTCTAACAGCCGCTAGTGTGGATTGGGTTGCGTTCTATGATTCAACTCGCGGCGAATACCCTGACATGGAGCTAGTGATAATGCCTAATTTACCAACCCCCGTACCAGAAATGGATGCTAAACTTTTCAACTTCGCCAAGGAAGCTATGGCGGATATGATCGCGAGCACCCCGCCAAAAGTATTTAGGTTTTTAGCGATCCTATTGGATACTGAATCGGTTGGTTCTGTATCACTTCAAAGTGATTCTCCGTTCGATTACCCCCTAATCAACAATAACATCCTTTCCGAAACCGAAGACTTGGAGAAACTGTACACTCTGATAAACATCGTGAGAAACCTCACACGGACAGAAGGGTTTAAGAGAATCGACGCCAAACTGGTAACCCCGAAACTGTCAGCTTGCAAGGGCAGCGAATTCGACTCCAAAGACTATTGGTTGTGCGTTTTCAGACAGTTTGGTCTCCCTGGGTACCACTGCGTAGGATCTTGCCCTCTAGGGAAAGACCCGAAGAAGGGAGCAGTAGTGGACCCGCAGTTCAAAGTTCACGGTGTTGAAAAATTGAGGGTGGCCGATTGTTCCGTGCTTCCGTTTCTCATTAGAGCACATACCGCCGCAACGTGCATCATGGTTGGCGAAATGGTTTCCGACTTTATTAAGAACTACATTTTATTTCTATAATATTTATCAATCCCATGGTAAAAGGAGAAAAAATTATACTTACTTTTAGATGCCTATGTATGTCTCTTAGTCCGACTCGTACAATAGAGATATCGTTAGGTAAATGAGCAGCATGCTGGATTTCGTGGAGGGCATCCCCTGCTAGGCCCTCCCCCAAAACAACCAACATACTGAGGGCCCCATATGGCGATAGAGCAATGTTGTTGTCATTGTCTTCATTGTGTACCTAAACAAATTACGTATCTAGAATCCTTTACTTTTAAATATAGGGTTTTTCTTTATTAATGTTCAACAAAAATAACAAATTATTAGTGGGTATTTTTAGGCCTTAGGCAGTTAAATTTTCTTTGTTTGATGTTTATAGTACTTTGAACCGATCTTTTAGTATTCGCCGACCCTCCTTTTGTTCGTTACGCCAACTCTTTAATTATTTCCGTTTAAATCTGAAAAGCCGATTTTTTTATCCTTAATTAGTTGGTAAAATAAAGATATATAATTTTATAAGTTTGTTATTAAGTCTATTTTTCTAAAATATTTTAGCCGAAAGAAACATTAACTTTGTTATTTCAAGTATTATACCACATGTATTTTTATATTTTTAAATTCTGAGTAAAATTACTATATCATGTCCTATACCTAAACATTTTAAATAAAAAAGTTATTAACTTTTTAAATAAGCCTAATTTGCCCTGGGTTTTCTCAGGTAATTTGTTGAAAAATCTTAAAGAATTGAAATATTTTAACCAATGTTTTAAGTTTCCAAAAATTACACCCCTATATTTGCAAACCTTATAACAAAAAAGTTATAGGCTATTTTTGATTGACGCGCATTTTAAGAAAAAAAATTATAACTCGAATATTATTTACTTACCTATATGACTCATAATTTGATGTAGAATTTAAAAATTGATGGGGTGTTTTATTTGAAATACCTAACAAAATTGATGTTACATCCTGTTAAACCGGAAGTGTCATTTTGTTCAAAATATTTTAGAAAAATGGACTTAAAATTTCAAATCGATATCTTTTTCCGTTCCCCAGAAACTTCTAATGAACCACGAATGTGAAACACCCTGTATAATGTTTTAGGCTCTTAAATCGTACCATTCAACAAAATTGTGTAACTAAGAATCAAATTAATAAATTTGTATTTATTTAAATTATTTAAAACTACTGGTGCCCACATTTTACACCTAGTTGGTTGTTGAGTAGGTAATTAATTTAAATAATTAAGAAAAAAACGAAATGTGGTAAAATGTGCATTTTTTAAATAATTTATGAATATAATGTATTATGGTGACATTGAAATTAATTTTCATAAATAAATAAAATTGTTATTGCAAAAATTAAAAATACATTTTTTACGAATATGTATTTAAAAAAATGTAACTAAATTTGTACCTTTTAGCCGGATTTTAAAAATTTATTTGTTCATGTTTTTTTGTAATGATTTTATAAAAAAAATACCTTTTTTGCACAATAATCATATATTCACGAGAACTATGAATTTAATCGGTTAAACTAGGCTCAGTAGTTTTTTGTTTGGTTTTTGTTGGAAAATGTTGAATGCAAAATAATTTAATAAAATCACGAGACCGCGTAGCGGTCGAGGGGTTTTATTTTTAATTATTTTGCATGAAACTATTTTCCAAAAAGAAAAATCAAATAAAAAACTTACTGAGCATAGTTTGACAGATTAAATTTATAGGCTTTATTATCTATGGGTTGAGTGATACCTATTCGTCTAGATTATTTCTCGAATTAAAAGAAAACTATTTGACAATTTATAAAATCTGACCTATGTGTCAAAATTTATAAATATTTTTTTAAAGAAAATTCCATTAATTTAAGGTATGTAATAAGTAATAATTGATATTTCGTAAACTAGATAACTTATTTTTTATTGTTTTTTTTAAAAATGTTTGTTAAAACTTGTAAATAACACCATAAAATCGTAAACAAAAATCCAATATGGAGGCTAACATTTAATCGCCGTTAAATAGTTCTAGTGATTTAATCGCGTATTTAAACGAAATTTATTCAAAAATTCAAGGCTTTTGATTGGTTCATATTATAATGAGGGAAATAATCAATACAAATCAATTAATTAATTACCTACATAACTTAAGCAACCATGCACGGCTTATGTCTTCCGTCAACCAATCACAGTTCTTGATATGCCCATATTAAGCACGGTGATTGGTTGACGTAAGACGTAAGCAGTAAAATATACATCCTGTGGCAATTGTAAACCGTGCTTAAGAGAGATAAGAAGTAGTACAAAATGTATAAATTTTTACACTTTGTTTGTTTTTCTATACTATAAAATTTTTGTTGCATACAATCCAAACGCAGCTAGGCATAGGTAATTTGTCACAACACTAAGCTTAACAATGCAGGGAAAAAAACGTTTAACAGAACAACTATTGTGTATATTAATACAGCATGAATTTGTGTATTATTTTTATTTTATTTTTCTATTATTGCATGCATACGTATGTACCTACAAAGTACTTGACTGTACCGGTAATATGCTTTCCCTTAATTTGTTTTACTTTAATCTATAGATATATTTTTTAACATTGCAACAGATATTGCAGGTACATAAATAAATAAACGTTATAATTTGAACGCTTTATAACTTTTGTATTAGGTATTTCGTTTTTAAGTAACAGTTTACATGCACTTAAGATTTTACTTATATTTTATAATATAATTTTGATAAACAAAACCAGAAAAACGAGATTTTAACACATTGACAATGTGACATTGTTGACAAGAAAATTAAAAGGGTTGCCAATAGACTGAAATAAAAAATCCCTAATTTCAAGCTTCTAAGTACCATTGATTAATACCCAACGGTAGCACTAAGAAAGAAGCGAAATAGACAAAAATCTTAGTTACTTAAAATTTTAATTAACACTTTGACTCATCATGCCAATTAATTCTTCAACGGCAGACGGGATCTTTTGTTCGTTCCTCACTTTTAACAGTCTGTAGACTGAATATGATAATTTTTTGTTCGGTTCGCAGGTCTTCAATGCCATTTGAACCGTGCAGTGGCAATCTTCGTGCAACCTGCCATTGTGTTTATGCTAAACAAATCATTTATTAAAAAATGCGCGGACTTGCACGTTAAAAAGGCTGTGTGTGTTATGTTAGGTTGAGTTATACATATATTGTGAAAATTTCACATTGATAACTTATGATGTATGGCCACAAGGCCTAAGACCTAAGTTATTATGAATTGTTCCGATTTTTTTAAAACATTTCTTTAGTACCTAATTATGAAATTTTAGATTAGGATTTACAGTTTTGTTGTAAGTTAAAAGTTTATAATTTATATACGGGTCATTCCACGCATTTTTCACTTTTTTGAGGGTATTTCTTTACTTATATATATTATAATAAAAAAAAAATATTTTCATTAAAAATTTAAGAATTGTTTACAAAAAAACAGTACTTTGAATTTTAACAAAACTTTATTTAGATCCAAACCCATACAAATTTTAATCAGGCAAATTCATTATTAAAATGTTTGTTGTCGATAAAAAAATATACATGGTTAGCTATACATTTTTATTTTATATCTTTTTCTTGCCCACTGTAATAATTTGAATAAAACTCCGTTAATACAAATTAATTTAACAAAACTATGTAACCACATGCATTTTGTAATTACAGGCATAGAGGAAGGTAAGTATTTAATTACCGGATATTTACACCCGGGTTAATTACGAAGACCGAATTATTTCCCAATATCGAATTAAAATGACATTAGGTTTGAATTTTGCTCTTTTCAACGACAACGAATGCTGCTGTTGCTCATTGTGTGCGAGGAAATACATTTTAGTTCGACCAATAAGATAAAATTATTTTTAATTTATGTATTTCTGATGTCTCATAGGTATTAGGTATAAACAAGGTGTTTAATTAGGTGCCTAAGATTGATTAGGTAGGTATATTTATTGAAATAAATAATACCTACATATAATACACTCATCAAGAGTGATAAAATATAAAAAAAGTTAAAATGTTTTTTCTTTTTTTAATTAATTTTATAATAAGTAAAAAGGGTTAATAAGGAGGTATTTTTATAGAAAGACTGCAATACGTGTTTTACTTGCTATATTTTCTTGTAATATTCACTTGAGAAAAGTATTCTTTTAATTTATTGTGAAAAAACTCAAAAAAAAAAATATTTTTTAGATAAAACTGAAAAATTACAAAGTTGTATAATTTTTTTTTTAAATACGAAAATCATAAAAATACCATACAAGGTCCAATAAAATTAAAAGAAAGCTTATTCAGTTTTTTTAATTTTCAAATATAAAATCATGATTAATTATGAAAAAAGTATAATAAAAAACATAATAATGCAGTTAAAATTGTTATTTTAAACAAAAATATTAAAATATATGTTTGTTACTTTACAAAAAAATCAATTGGGTTTACTGTAAAAATTCATAAAATTTTGCCATTATAAAAAAAATAGTTTAATTTTAACAAATCTTAAACAAATAGACACTACTTAAAAAATACTTCAAAAATACAGTTTTTTTTTAAATTTCTTCAAAATTTAAGAAAAACCTAAATAAGAATTATAAGATACAGGGTGTCCCAAAAATGGCAGAATTAGAGATTGATATTTGAAAATGCAAAAAAATTAGGTACAATATTTTAAGTTTTTTTGTCATTAAAAAAAATTGAACGTTAAAAATTATAAAAAAAAATATTTGAATTAATTTTAACCGTAAAAATGCAAAAATGTAATATTATACAGGGTGAGTTTTTCTTAACAGCGTGTAGAAATTAGATAGACAAAAAAATATTTTAAGTAACTTTTTTATCAAAACTCAAAAATAAGATTGCTATAGCCCTTCAAAATTTAATTAATTTTTGAGCCGGTCCTGGCTATTCTGCCGTGCTTAATGAAAACGCCGTAACCAACAATTGTGCGATTTTTGTTTTACAGCATTTTCTACTAGAACAATTCATCCTGCGTCTATCCCCGGTACTCAAATAACCGTATATATATAGATGCGGTTTTTTGAGTACCGGGGATAGACGCAGGATGAATTTTTCTAGTAGAAAATGCCGTAAAACAAAAATCGCGCAATTGTTGGTTACGGCGTTTTCATTAAGCACGGCAGTATTGTTAACAAAAAACATAATCATAAAAATAAAAACAACAAAATAAACAATGCAAAATGTCATCTATGACAACAAACATAACCATTTAAATCAAAATGACATTTAACAATGAAAAATGTCATTATTTACTTAAGTTTTTTTTTGGGCCTCAAATATTGTTAAAAATGTGTCATTTTGGTTTAAATGGTTATGTTTGTTGTCATAGAGGACATTTTGCATTGTTTATTTTGTAATTTTTATTTTTATGGTTATGTTTTTTGTTAACAATAGCCAGGACCGGCTCAAAATTTAATTAAACTTTGAAGGGCTATAACTCGCTTATTTTTGAGTTTTGATAAAAAAGTTATTTAAAATATTTATTTGTCTATCTGATTTCTATACGCTGTTAAAAGGAACGCGTCAACTTAAAACTCACCCTGTATAATAATACCTCGAATAATACAAAAAAATCAAATTTACAGAAAATTATAAATAAATTTGGAAAAACAATGAGACGTAATGAAATTATAAGAAAGAATTAAAGAATAAATATAAAATAAATATTTTGTATAAAAAAATAAATTAAAAATTAAAGAGGAGTTAAAATTAAAAAACGTTAAAACAAATAAATAGGTATAGCTTAAAAATTGATTATTACAGCATTGACTAAAGAATACTTCTTCACTCAACGATAACAGTATATTATTTTTTATGGAAATCTCATGAGCGAACTCGTGAGATACAAACAAAAAAGCGTATGAAAAGAAATGCAAATTAAAAAATAATTTTCTTGGAATCTTTTCTGTAAAAAAATCTGAAACTATTTGTAAATGTATCTAATGCCTAATTGTTTTTACAAATAAGTCTTATAGTATCAAAACCTGATATAGGTATGTTTGACTCAAATATTTTGACGTTTTTTTATGAAATACCTAATTTTTTTTGTTAATTACATAATTACTTAATTACCTAATCATGTTTTTTTTAATTTTATGTTTTATATACTTTTGATGTAAATTATTTTAAATAAATTTAAACAATTTTAACAAAAACTTACCGCAAGCAACTTTAACCCCAAATCATTTACCACATCCACCATATAATCCCTGGGCACCACTTGATGCACTTTATGATGATGCTGATGATAATGATACGCAGGCGGCTGGGGTGGCTGTTGATAATCGTAACCGTGGTGACCGTAGTCGTAACCATGGTGCCCGTAATCGTACCCGGGATGAGGCTGCGGGTGGTTCGGATACGGTTCCGGCACGTACACCGGATTCCACGCCGACTTGGAACCGGAAGAACTCGCGGCAACTAAAACCACCGCGAGGAAGATGCCTTTGAGAAACATCTCGCGTAAATAAATTTTAATGGTTGTTTGTGGTAGCGGTTTCGCGCCGACTGGTCATGATGGGACGCTGCCTCTGGCTTATAACGCCCGACACCGGCATGGTTCGTCGTTTGGTAAATTACAGGTTACAGAGATTTTTGATTGCCCGCAGGGGCGGTCACATATGGGTCGTTCCACACCACATCGATAAATTATTAATTATATTCGCATTAAAAATAGTTTTTTTCTACTCATACCTTTAAAACCTATATGTTTTCATGATACTGTGATCTTTTAAATACACAAGTTGTGGTTTTATGGCGTTTTAGTCGCGGGCTGAAGTTAGCAACAGGTTTTAAGTCACGGGCTCAAGTTTAAAATTAATTGACAGTTGTTAAATGTCAGACAATCGTTAAAACTGTGAAATAATAAAGTGGAAATCATTTTAATATCTTAATACAAAAATAAAAAGTAATGTTAAAATAGTACATTCTGTAACAAGTTTGGAATACAGCATATTCTGCTCGAGGAAAAATTTGACACACGAGCCGAAGGCGAGTGTGACGGTTTTACGAGAGTGGAATATGCTATTCCAAACGTGTTTCAGACAATATTTTCTCTACGACTACGTACGAATAGTAACGCTTATATAATTTTAACAAGAGAAAAGAAACCAAGCAGTTTTTGACATTTAAGTTTTTTGTATTGTCAAACCATTTTGTGCCGTCACAATTTTATAATGTAAATTATAATAAATTTAAACAAATGGTATGCCTCTTTATTATAATTAAAAATAGTTATTTACACTAACTAATAAAAAAATAACATTGTAACAAATACAAAACTAATTTACAAGTAATCCATGTCAACATTATTCTTTTTCTACATTTTAAAGGTCTTTTTTTTAACTTTTTGAATCTGTCAAAACTTCAAAGCCGGTATAGTAGGTAACTGGTTTATCATTTTAATATCAAATTTATTATAATTTTGATTTGTATATTTGAAAAACAATAAATATAACTAATTTTTTGTGCCTAAACCTTAATTATACAACTGCTATTATTTTTTTATTAATAAATAATACAGTAATATTTAAATATTTTTAAATTTTTTACGTTTAGTAAACAGCCAGAAGATGTCGTTACTTGTGACCATTCTTAAACAAGAGTGGGAATATTCTCGCACAGTATTGCAGAAAAACATCCTTTCTATGATCAAAAATTACACTAGAATGTTACTATTCTTAAGTAGTCGTAGAGAAAATAGTTTCTCACACAGATTATAAAGGTTACGCCAATACCTATTTGAAAGTTTATATCTAAGTTTGTACTGACCATTTTCTTCACTGTCACTGTGAAAAACTGCTTCTCTACCATCATTTAAACGTTTGTTATTGCATTTTCAAGGGAAAAATTTCGACTTCCCCATACAAATTTGACATTTTGACTGGCCGGTAATACAGATTTCCAAGTTAAAAATTGTTACGCAAGTTACTGTATTTTTTTTATAGATGTCGCTCTACACAAATATTTAATTTTAATCATTTTTGGATAATAATTAATAGGAGCATGAAGAAAGCTTTTCTCACAAGTGAAATACAATGTTTTTTTACGACCCTTTTATTTTTTATTATTTTCAAATACAAAACAAGAAACGTGTTTGACAGCTGTTAAAATTACGATGCTGTCAATTTCTTTTCACACAGACCTGTCACTTTTCACACAGAAATGTCACTTTACATTCGAGTTTTGCCCTGCCAATGAAAAGAGGTAACTTTTACATAGTGGTCGTAGAAAATAGTAACTAGGTATATTAAAGAACTAATTTTAATGTCATAAGACGACATGATTTCTTTATGCTTTTAAGCTTTTTTATTGCAAACGCTCACTACCAAAATATTCGATTATCTCTCGAGTTGTAAAAATAATTTCGACCAATCAGGTGATTTTTTTACATCCTAGTCTGTAAAAGAACTGTTGACACATCTGAAGCCATCTAACATCACTTTATACTTTTAATAATTGTTAGTACGTTTTAAGCACAGATATATTTTTGCGATATATGTGGAATGACCCATATGTAAATCTATAGTGGAACTCAGTGGGTTTTCCTCGAATTTCGTGTTTTACACTGGTTCTTCTATTTTCCTAGATTTTCTTGATTTGCTGGCGATTTTCTTCGAACATGGTTAATATTTTTTCTACTCCCACCCTTAAAACGCCCATTATCGTACATGTTCAAAATACACATTGACAAGCTGTTACTTTATGGCTTTTTAGTAACCTGCTGAAGATAGTTGACAGTTGTCAAATGTCATACAAACGTCAACAAAAACCGATTATAATTATCATTAGAAAGTGAGGTTAGAACCGTCTGAGGGATGTCAGATTTCAATCTTTGAAACTTATTTAATTTTTAAAATTTTATTCAATGCAAAAGACATTTTTGTCCTTAAAATAAAATATCTCTCAAACACTTTATTTTTCCTAAGGTGTTCAATATATTATTCTGCTGAATAATTTTGCCATTTACATTTTTGCAACCTTACCTGCAGAATATTAGAGAAAAACTGATAACGACCAAGGTTGTTCCACATTGCATTTATGTAATGGAATTGCCAATACACCTAATATTGGTTAGTTTTAAAGACATATATCTACATAATATATTATAAAATTTATTTATTTAAACATGTAGGTGTTTTCACATTTCAATAGCAATCATATGCAAAAGATAATATAATTTAAAATTATGTTTTTCTAACAAATAAATGAGAAGCATAGAATTATTATTATTTTTCCTATTATCCAATTTAAATAGCTTTCCTTTATTAATGATGATTAAACAAAAATATTTTTCAAAATTTCTCTTAAAGATTCTTGTGGTTTTTCAGTGTCCTCTCATTTACGTCATATACCTATAAAACGGTAAAAACTTATTTCCTGTTAATAAACGCATTTTTTCCAGCAACATAAAATTATTGAAGACCTCAACATCAAAATTACATACCTACCGTTTTAAATTCTGATAAATGAATCATATCACTGTAATCAAATTGATGTACCTAGGTTACAGGACATTTAATTATTTTATGCAGTAAGGTCAATGCAGAAACCAATAATTAATTAATGTTTGCCAAAGGACACTGCAATGCATAGAAACTTAATTTCGTTAAAAACAAGCAATATAATTAAATGTAGGCTTTATGGATTAATAAAAATTATTGAAGAGTATATTGTTTTTAATTTTATTTGTTTTAATTAGTAAAATGAAACTCACCGATAAGTTTATTTAATAAAAATTAATGAAAAGAGTGTCCTTCGTTATGCGATGAATATTTAAAAGGGTGTAATCTGGGTTGCCTGTCGGTGATCGAAGCGAAGAAAACAAAACAGCCGTTTTGCGATGCGCGCGCACAACTAAAATGGCGAGCGATTTGCTCACAATTTGCTGTCATTTTTAAATCTACAAAAATCATCCTGTATCAATGGCGTAAACCGCGAATCTTGTAATTATTGTAAATTGTATATAGTCTCTTGTATAGTTAGTGATAATATTTTGTGTTGTGATTTCCAAGATAGTGTAAAAATCGTGATTGAAAATTGTGTTTGTGTATAGTGGGAAAATCTTTGGTAAAGCCGACGCCGACAAACAGAACAATAAATATTACGAAAAATACATTTTGTTGATGCATAGGACGGTCACAAAACGACAACAGGTACTTTATTTTTTGCTGCTGGAAGGGTTTTATTTCATTTTTGCTCAAATTTGCGCGATTTTCTTTGTGTTGTTGGTTGTCAAACGCCATTTGTTTGGTACCGGGAATATGAAATGTCATGCAGTAAACAACTGTCGTAAAATCCACTCCCATTTCGTATTTACCATGGAATTATTAGTTATAGACCCGTTTTTTACGCTCCCCTATCGATTTAACGTAAAAGATGCCCCAAAAATTACGAGCAAATTTTAAATTTTATTATGACAGATAACTGACGTTCTTTTGTTTGGCTTTTATTTCTCTTGGGGTTATTAATATTATCGATTAATTTTTTGAAATTCCCTTTCGTAATTACTTATTTATATTGTTGAATAATTTAAACTTAACGTAACGATTTCTCCAAAAAATCAATACCTACATCACCCTAATTAATACTGCTGAAATTATAGTAAAACCTAGGTAAATTAGTAATTTTTTGTCGTTAACGTGTCAAACAGTCAATATTGTTGGAAAAAGGGTTATGTCTTATTTATTTAGGGTTATGTTAAGTTTTAAAAAATGTGAGCATTTTAAAAACAAGAAATTGGGTAGATATAATAGTCTAAAGAAATTAATATTTATATAAAATTGTTTTAAGAATGAGATTTAAATATATAAAGTTGTTTTAAGAATGTCAGTCTTTTAGGGTAGAGAAAACAAACAAAAACCCTAAATAAAACTTCACAATGGCAAAACACAACCCTTTTAGAATATAGGTTATGGTTAAAACCTTTTTACTCATAGATTCATTGTTTTAGTGACACCAATGAAGTGGTTGGCAAACGGTGACGGAGATGGCATTATAAAAGTCGAGATGGACAGGGGACCCCACCGTACACAGGACGACGCGGCTGTCGGCTACGTTTTTCAACGGCCACCAGACCCTGAGTTCCCCCAGTACGGGCCCAAACAGCTCAGATGGGCCCATGGAGACGACAGCATAATTGATGTTAGTATTTTTAGTTTTTTTGGGAGTGCCTTTTAAAAAATAAATGATAATTGATGATAACCTTGAAACTATTAATTTTACAGCAAAAATGAAAAACCAAAATGTTGGCTGTACTGTTTTCTACAAAAAATGTTATAAGAAATAATAATAAGAAGAAAATTACCAGAAAGCAAAAAAACGTTTTACCATTTTTAATTCTAATTTTAAAAAGTTATATGGACCTTTTATAATTTTCTTGATTTCTTCAATATCATGCTTTCTATAAGTTTTACCAAAAATTGTAATAACATTTTTTGTAGATAATTCATCAGCCAATATTTTTTGTTCTTAACTTTTTTCTGTAAGAATTGTACTTTTTTAGGTATTTGTTAAAACAATGATTTTTTGACAGTTGGAGACAATTTGTTGAATATCTTGCTTTCTGTTAATTTAAATCAGAAATTTTTTGTCTAAAATGAATATTTTTTAAAATATTTAAAAAATTATTGGTTTCAGCAAAATCAATGCTGCCAATGTAAAAAACACTATAAAATATTTATTAAAGATATTGATTATCAAATGGCTTAATTGTTTTTGTTTTTTATTTTATGTTTACAAAAATTAATCAGTGTTTGTTTTAGAACAGTAAAATTTTCTTAGATAATTATCTTGTGCATTTTGTTTATTTTATGTGCAATCACTCTAATCTTGTTTTGTTTGTTTATATCTAGCATATGATTTTTTTATTATTTTCTTCAAATTTGAAACAAATAATAGAAAGTAATTTATTATAAAGGTTAAAAAATATTGTTTTCAATGTTATTGCGCAACTAAAAATATTTTTGTGTTTTTACTTTTTACCAAGTAAATAGCTCTTTAATATGTACATTAACTTCTATAGAATGTGCATTTTTTAATTTTATAAATGAAATGTTGGCAAAAACATCAAAATACAAAGCACCAGTAAACAAACAAAAAAAAATGTTTAGCCACATTAATTAATTAACAATATAGTTTTCACACATTTTATTATTTAGCATCCATTTTATTAAAAATTTAGTTATTAACAATATGATAATAAAATTTAATCACTTCACAATCTTAATTTTTATGAATGGATAAGATATAATTTTTATTTTTTAACGACTTTTCCGCAAATATGGCCTTGAAATATAATTGAATTATTAAATGTACTATTTTTAATTTATTTATATATAATAATTAAATTTATTTTATAAATTAAAATATATAAATAATAAAATATAAATATAAATAAGTAATAATAAATAATTATTTATTATTATAATTATTACTATTTTTTTCCTTAAATTTCTAGTGTTTTTTAATCAATTTTGTTGCTTTACTATATTTACATCTTTTATAATAAATTTTACTGATTAGCTTTATCTTGTAGGTACATTTAATTATTACGTCACATTTTTCTTTTATATCTGTATTCTTTAAAAAAAATTCGTTTACTTAGTTTGACTAAAAAATACAGTAGTAGTGGTCCATGTTTACTCTAGGTCTTTTTAGAAGAGGTAAATAAGACTTGACATCAAATTTAAGAGACATCTTTTAAAAGTGTTGTTTTACTTGAAAAAAGTGTCTTTCTTTACTACTATTTTTTCATTCATTAAGTTTACATTCTGCTTTAGAAAATTTAAATTTTTGGGCAGTTTTTTGGTCATATGTTCATGTTCAGACATTTAGTCGCGTTCAAAATACAAAAGTCTTTCACTATTATAATAAACTGTAGTAATTACTATTTAGTAATTAGGTATTAATGTTTTTAAATTTCTGTATATTTTGAGTGTTTTGAAAAAACGATTTTAATATATTGTTTTTTTGAATATTATACTATTTTCCAAGTTTCTTTTCCTTTTTATGCATTTTTCAATATTTTTTTTGGGAAATAAATGTTTATTTAGCTCTTTAAAGTATTCTACAATCTTTAGGTGGAATTATTCATACATAAGTGTTTTTCTGTGATATATTTTTATTTTTTGTTAAATAGGTCTACTTAATATAATTTTTATTGGGAAATTTTTTTTTATTTTTATTTTGTGCAATGTCACTTTTTTTAACCGTAGTTTAGTTTTTTTAATTATTTTGCGGTTAAAAAAGTTTTTCTTTTTTTTGAGCAAAAGTTTTTAGGTCTTGAAAACCCAACTGGTAATATTTTTCCTCTATTTTTAAGGTTTTCCACTTTTTATTAGTAATTATTATTACATTTCTTAATATATCTTTAGTGTTTTGGAAGAACGAATTTTTATAATATACTTAAATATTATTGATTTTCTCCTATTTTATTCTTCAATAATAAATAATATTTAGCGAGGTGAGGTTTCTCAGTTCTTTAAGGTTTTAATTTTTAGGTTGAATTTTTAGTCTTCTGTGAAATTTAATTTTTGATCTGGGACATTTTTTACCGTTTTACTAAATTTCACTGCTTCTTTTATTTTGTGGAATTTCAGTTTTTTCTGTTTCACCCTTATTTTTGGCTTCATGGTGGAGTTTTTATTGTTTTTGCGGTTAAAAAATTATGTATTATTTTTTCAGGTTTTGTTTAGTCATTGAGGTAATTAAATTTTCAATAGAAATTTTTAAGGTACCTTTAGGATTCTGTACTATTTGTTAATTTATTTGGGGTAAATTTATGTTATGATTTTTAAATCTTAAAAAAACAATTATTTATAAGTAATTATATTATTGTATTAAGGTTTTTTAAAATGTTAAATTTATTTATTTTTTACAATTTTTTGTTAAATTTCTGTGTATTTTTATTATTTTGGAAAAACGATTTTAATTTATTGGTTTTTGGTAATATTACTTTTCAATATTTTGTTATTTTATATTTTCAAGGTATTTTTTTTTGAGAAATTAAAAATAAAAGGTTTAGAAAGTTTATTTGGCGCTTTTTTAAATAATTGTTTTGCAATTATTTTTAGTTAGAACTAAAAAATAATTTAACTTTAAGATTTAATGTTTTAGGTGTACTTTTTTTTACTATTGCAATTTTTTTAGCATCATTAATTTACCACATTTAATTTGGGGTTTTTTAATTTTTTTTTAAATTTTTAGGATTTACTTTTGTTTCTGTATATTTTTATTGTTTTGGAAGAACGATTTTAATACATATAGGTATTTAATACTATTTATTTGATTGTTTTTTCAAGATTTTACATTTTTAAATTTGGCTGCTTTTTTCATTGTGTAATTTCAATCGTAATTTAGACTATATTTTTTAGGTTTAATTGTTTTTGAGGTAAAAACAAAACATTTTTCAAGAACAAGAATAATTTTTTTCCAGAACCACGACAAATGGAAATACCCGACTACGAATAGCAAACTGGACTCGCAGCCTTTCGGCAGCACGACTGCCGCCGCCATGTCGTACATGGGGCAGCAGCTGCAGCTGCAACACCACCAGCAACAACAACAGCAGCAGCAGCAGCAACAAAACAGCTTGGTGGCGGGCGGCCTCTACGACCTCGGCCAGCACCACCACCAGCAACAGCAGCAGCAGCAGCAACAGGCCGCCAAGTCCATGCAACCCGAGCACCTGGTGTACATGCAGGCGGGCGGCATGCCGCCGATGCACCAGCCGCCCCCGCATCAGCTGCACCATCTCGCGCAGCAGATGCCGCCCATGAGGCAGCAGCAACAGGTGAGTCGAGATTTTGCAGTTTATATTTTTTTTCCACAATTATAGGAATTTTTAATCGAAAATTGACAGTGCACATATTTTTGAGTACCGTTGACTTTGGGGGCCCATCAATAATTATACAGCCCGTTCAGACTAAAACCGAATATATCTATATATATATATATATATGGGGCGTGGCCTCGCCTCCCTCCAACGTGCGACACAGTACCTAAGCAAATAGCCTGCATAGCTAATGAGATTTTTTGCATTATTACCATTTAATTTTTTAAGTCGTCTTACCTGCTCGACCTTTCGTCATGTCGTTTATGTCGACTGTGACGCGCCTTGGAGGGAGGCGAGGCCACGCCCCATATATATATATAGATATATTCGGTTTTACTCTGAACGGGCTGTATATGTAGGTATATATAACAAAACAACAAATTCTTACGTCAAAAATAAAAAAAAACAAGAAAAAAAAACACTTGGTTTAAAATAATTTGACTCAACCCAATTTACCTAAACAAAAATAGCTTTGTTTAGCTGCTATGTAAAAAAGATTATTATACTGTTTAACAAAAATCGACTATTTTTTATATAAAATTAAATAGCTAATTAATATTATTGGTTGCTAATCGCGATTTTACATTTAAATTATTTACATAAGATTTTTTTATTTTGGAATTATATAACTCGTTACGGATTAATGGACTAAAATGATTAGAGCGTTTATTTAGAGAATTAAACGCTCCACAATAAAGTTTACTTATTATTTTATAAAAAATCTACTCGTTAAAAAGTTATTTAAACTTATTTTCTTTAAACATATGTCAGTATTTTTTTTACGTTTTATTTATGATTTACTGGTTTAAGTAAATAAAAATGAAAATCAGTAACTGTATAACTATAAGTTTTAAAATTATAAAATTACGCAATTTTTTGAAAAATAAAATGATCCACCGTCCTATTGCGTTTATTAAGTCTGATAGTTTTAGCGGAAAAGTAAGGAAAACTTGAAATTTACTATAAACGTTATTTTAAGCTTGAATAACTTTTGAACAAGTAGATTTATTATAAAATAATAATAGACTTTTTTGTATAGCGTTTACTTTAAATAATCTATAAAAATATTTTTTTTAAAATATGTTATTTTCATTTAAGTCCATTAATCCGTTTAAAATATTTATAATTCCAAAGTTATTTTTTTCATGCTATTTAAATGAAAAATTGAGGGGACTCAATAATAATATTACATCATACATTTTGAAAAATTTAGGGGACTCAATAATAATATTACATCATACATTTTTTGTAGATCATTTTCTATAAAAATATGTTATTATTTTTTTTAATGTTTGATTTATGATTTACTGGATTAACCAGTAAAAATCCAAATATTTTTTGCAATAAAATCAATATTTTCTTGAAATTAATTGGTATTTTAATCAGAAATATTTATTTGTAAAATCGGTAACTGTAGAACTATAAGTTTTAAAAATCATAAAATTACATAATTTTTTGGAGAATAAAATAATCTACCAAAGTTTTGTTATAAGTCTGATAGCGGAAAAGTAAGAACAACTTAAAATTTACTATAAATGTAATTTTAAGCTTAAATAACTTTTGAGTAGATTTATCTTAAAATAATAGCGTTTACTTTAAATAATCTATAAAAATAATATTTTTAAAATATGTTGTTTTCATTTAAGTCCATTAATTAAGATATATAATTTCAAAGTAATTTTTTTAATGCTATTTAAATAAACTCATAATAATAATATTTTTTGTAGATCATTTTATTTTCTATAAAAATGTAATTTTTTTAAATGTTTGATTTTTGATTTACTGGTTTAACCAGTATAAATACAAATATTTTTTGCAATTAAATGAAGATTTGAAATAAAAAATTGAAGTTTACGTGTCCGAGCGTTTTTAAGTGATAACCACACTGTATAACTAAAATAACCGCTAATTAATAATAAAAAAACCGTCTCAGTTGCAATATGGCCTTATTCGCCATGTTTAAAATTTAATTGCTAATTAATAAACTGAACATCCTTCGTTAAGTAAGTATTATGACTTAATCTGAATCTGCACGGAATTGCTCAACTCGGCGCTGAATTTTTCAATCTTAATTAAAGATTTTAATTACTTAAACACAATACTTTTGGTCATGTGATTGTTAAAAACGTTGAATTTGATTGTGTGTAACACGTGGACGAAAATACACAAAGAGGCGGTATAAAAAAATCGAATTAAATATGTTTTAATTCGTCGCGGCCTTGGACCTTGGCTCACTGACCCCTTTTTTCGTACGAAAATTGCCAAATTTACTTTGTTACTTACCTTATAGTATGTGCACTGAATTATGGTTTATTTCAAGTGTTACTTCATTTTGATAACAATTTATGATTTTTTAATCAAACCAAAAAAATTATTTTAAATTACGGTGCTATAAATTGAATGTATAATATTTGAAGATTTCTATTTTACACAGGCATTTTGAATCAGTATTTAAATAATTAAATCCATACACTGTTAAAAATGTCTACCTAAATTTTATGCCTAATTGTTTTAGACTAAAACTTTTAGTAATGTCACTGTATTTTTCCTGAACTTTTTACGAGTTAATTTTGTGGGGTTTTGGGCTTTTTTGGATTTTAAAAAACACATTTTTTTACGTTTTTCCCACCCCCAAAACTCCCCCTGTCTACGCCCCTGATTACAAAACATTATGTAAAAATCCAGATTCAGTATAGTAATTGTCATTTTTGAACCTAGACTTAATTTCACTATAGTTTTCAATAGTAAACGTTTAGTAAATTTACCATTATTTTTAACAGTGTAAATTTATTTAAAATAAAATTCCACCTTCAGAATTTTTTGTGTTAATTGGTATTGTTTTACTATATATATATTTTGTTTATTAGTTAAATAAACAAGCAAAATTAAATACATATTTATTTTGTTAACATTTTTAACCAAAGCAGTGTAGAAAAATATTTATTTTTTTAAACTAAAATTGCAATGGAGTTACGCGGAAATATGAATTTATTGAAGGTATTTTACATTAAAATTTCATTTTTATTAAATGTCACACAAAGATTTATGAAATTAAATTAAATCAATATTTAATTTTATTTTTCCTCTATCTGCACAATGATACATTTTTTCATTAAAAAATATCATGAAAATTATTTCTTGGGCATTTGTTTTGCACGACACTGAATTCGTTTAAGTAGAGTCGGCCAGTTGTTTAACTGTAGCTCTTATCGGTACTGCTGTCTGTTTAACAGCTGTACCTGACGCAACGAAACCAGTGGCTGCCCATTAAATTCATAATAATCACGTTAATTTTCATGTTTTTTTCTATTAAAAATCAGTATAAAAGCGTTTTTTAACATCGTGGAATTGAAATAAAAAATCGTTTATTATAATTTTCTACTTAATTATAATATAAAACATTGCGTAAGAATTCCGGCATATGCTCGACCAAATTAAAGTAATCATTTTTTTCACCTGTCCATTGGGAAAGAACAGGTAATTGTTGTTTCATTATTGAAATATTTTTTTACAAATAAAACCTTGTTAATTTGGCGTATCAGGAGAATGCCTTTAAAAAAATATATTGCCCCCACTTTCCCGACGTAAATACATAAAAAATTCACTGGATTTTTGCAGGCAATCGATCAACTAAAAAGAATGGGGGCGGCTGTTTTTTTCATTATTTTTTTATGTCGTTTCGCTGTCGGTTTTCTTGTAGACAAGGGAAACTCGATTAAGGCTCTACTCTGTATGCGTGTGTGTATGTGTGTGTGTGGCATGACCACCTGGGATTTTCCCCCGCAAAACATCAAGTAAATAGCGATTTTGTTGACCATATAAGTGTCATTAATAACGTTAAGGTTGTTAGGGTGTTTTTTCGAAAATTGTTTTAGAAGAAACTTATGGTGATTTTAGAATGTATAGGGCGATTTGGATTTAATTTTTAAGGCCGCCAATGAGAGCGCAGTGTTTCTGCTCTGTCGGACGAGCCTCGCCTTTTAAGTGAGCGCAAGCGCGTAATTGGTCCAAAATCCTGGTCCAAAATTGGACCTTCGTTAAAAACGACTGAATTAGTCAAATTCTACTGAATAAAATAGTAGATTTAAATTTAAAAAAATTTTGACCCAGCCGGGAATTGAACTCAGGTCTGTCGCTTGTCAAGCTGTCATAACCAATGTGGCTATCAGTCAATCTTATAAAAATCAATTTTATTTGTCAATAAATATTGTTCATAATATTTTAAACTTGAATATATTATTTGTGTTGCTGTTTTGAGCTAAAGTTTTTGCATCTTTATTTAATTTTATTGGTCATTTAACCATGGAGTTTAGGTATATGCATTAAATTCAAATAATACTTTTTTGTTGGCCGCAAACGATTAAAGAAATTAGTTACTTTTAACTCTCAGAAATAGTCAAAGATGTGCAAAATAATCGATCCACACAAATTTTTGATGAATTTCAATCGCAAATAACTTTTTTATTTGTTTTCGGATTTAAACAAATATTAAAGAATATTGTAGATACATTAATGGACAATCGCTCACATTTTAAAAATTACTAAAAAATACACGTACGTTTATAATATACAGGTTTAAACAAAAATATGTTTTTACCATAAGTTTAAAACACTCTGTGGAGTGGCAAAACCGTATATTGTTCTAAATTAAGTTTTAATTATTAAGTCACATCTATTTTTAACAGTTTTGTTTTTGGTTCACCTTGATATATTTATTTTTGTAGAAAATATGGATTTTTTAAAAAAACATTGCAAATTCCAATATTTTTCTGTATGAAGAACTAAGGTTGCTATGGTTGCTATGGACAATGACAGTGACAGTTTTGTTGAATCATCCCATACTTGGACATGTCATACACGGCTTTCAAATGCTATCAAATTGTTTTTTGCAAATTAATGTTTAAATTTTGAGGTGTCTTCTTACTTTATAAAATGGATATGTCTCCGACTGATGTTGCCAGAGCTATTAATTTAATCCAGGATGGACGGTCACAGTATTACGTGGCAAGTGTTTTAAACGTCATAAGAAGTAAAGTACAAAGGGCAACATCAGTCGGAGACATTTTTAAAAGTAAGAAGACACCTCAAAATTAACACATTAATTTACAAAAAATAATTTGATAGCTTTTGAAAGCTGTATATGACATGTCCAAGTATGGGATGATTCAACAAAACTGTCACTGTCATTCTCCATAGGCTATGGATGGACCATAGCAACCTTAGTTCTTCATACAGGAAAAATATTGGAAATTGCAATGTTTTTTAAAAAAATTCATATTTTCCTCAAAAATAAATATATCGAGGTTAACCAAAAACAAAACTGTTAAGAATAGATGTGACTTGATAAATAAAACTTAATTTAGAAGAATATACGGTTTTGCCACTCTACAGAGTGTCTTAAACTTATGGTAAAAAACATCTTTTTGTTTAAACCTGTATATTATAAACGTACGTCTATTTTTTAGTATTTTTTTAAACAGTGAGCGATTGTCCATTAATTTCTCTACAATATTCTTTAATAATCGTTTAAATCCGACATCAAATAAAAAAGTTATTTGCGATTGAAATTCATCGAAAATTTGTGTGGATCGAAAATTTTACATGGAAATTGACTGCTAAATGTCCGAAATACAAATAGCTGTCGACAGGAATTATAAGTGGCTGCTTTTTTGCTATAAAAATAGTCATTTTTACTACTTCTTTCTAAGAGAGTTTGGACACATTTTTGATGGAACGTATAGCTCGTCTTCCTTGGTCCTGGGGGCCGTACACAAGACCAAGACCCAGGAGCGGCTGAAGGCGGCGGCGGCGGCATACACAAACACACGCGACGGACGCAGGCTGGCAGGAGAGGCTAGCACTGCAGCGCAGCGCATGCGCCGGCCAAACGTTCGTTCTTTGTTTAGTTTCGTTCAGTCGGACGCCGAATGCCGCGCCTATCGCTCACTTAGTGCCAGCCGAACGCCGCAAGACCGGTTTGCCGAACCATAACCATCAACAATTTATTTCGTTGCCGACCCGAAGCAACGCACGCACTTTTCAGCCCGCTCAAGAAAGTGGTTTTTGAGTTGGAACGAAAAAAAAACGTCGACAGCATCGGTGACTTTGTTATTGTTTTGGTTACAGTGTTGTTTATTTACACAGTGGGTGCCACAGCAAACAGTGGTTATGTGCCATTTCATTTGGATATGAAAGATATGGGACCCGATATGGTATGTCCCTTTAACAATAATAACAAACCCTAACTCCGAAAAATCCATTGTTTATCTACATAATTATCTCAGCAACAGGTTTATTATTAGGTGGGTCTTGTAGAGGCAGAACCAGGTAGCCATTTTCAAGGTGGGTTGGGGTGCCAGAGCCAGCACTCGGTCCGGCCGGTATGCTCTCCTCTTGTTGTTTACCTCGGATGCACCGTTGCCAACTCCTCCTCGCCACCGACTCGTTTGTCACGCAAAATTTACGTCTCGCGGCGTTGCCGATGCCGCGCCGTTTTTACGATGTTTTTTCTTGTTCATGATGATGTTTTTGCGGAGAACTGGCCCGAAAGTACAAATAGAGTGAATTTTGGCGCGGGGCCAATAGCGTTACGCCCCTTTCTGCACCAGCAAGGGTTTGTCTGATTGGACCTCGAATTCTCCCGGGTTTATTGCACGAGATGATTCGTAATGAGACTAAATTAAGGTTTTTAAAACGTTAAAGATCTTTCCTTGAGAAGATTCTTCAAAGTTTTGTAAACAACAGTGTGTTATTAATTTTGATTTACAAAATTAAGATGACGTTTTTTTTAACGTAAATTGCAACCAGAAACTAGAGCATCCGATAAACTCTTTCCTTCAAAGTCCATTTTGAAATTTTTCAATATACATAGGTACAGAAAACCAGCAAATTCTAGAGATGACTATATCCATTTGGCCAAAATCACTTTATTAAAAAATTTAAAATCTCAGAAGACCATCTTCAAAGGACTTCGTTTGTTGGTTAAGTTTACAGACACCATGTGGGTGAAAATGATTATTTTTTATTTTTGGTTGTTTCACTGTTGGTCTAGAATGGGGTTTTTGGGAAGCCACCAGGTCTAGTAATAACATAACATAAGTGGTTCTGCACTAATGCAAGAATTTTAAGAAATCATACATTTTGAATATTAGAGCTTCACGGAAGATAGCTTCACGGAGGTTAGAATTTTTTCAAAACATCCCTTTGTATATTTGAAATAAGTTATTGTATCTTTTGACACCTTAATGTTTTTTAAAAATACAATTGTACACACATAAAATATTTATAAAAAAGATCTACTTACTGAGATAGGTTTTTAAATAGCAAATTAATGAATTTAAACTTTTGAATTATAAAACAGCAACACTCTCATCTGCATATAAATTCTAACCGACCTTCAGGAATTACATGCATCTATAATGTCGTAAACGGAAGTTTTTGCTCATTTAAAATGATTAAAGCGCCATCCGTTGCATAAAATTTAAAGCAAAAACAGATTCACGGAGGATAGAATCAATTTTTGTAACACCTACATAAATGGTTATAAAAATTATTTCTTTAAATTTTTAATAATATTAAATATTATTTTATATTTCATTCGATTGCTTTGGATGTGTTTAATTTACTAGGTGAACTGATATTTTAGTATGCTTTTACTACCTCAGATATTTGAAATCATATAGGTTAACCTAGAAAGAGTAACATTCACGGAGGATAGGTTTTAGACTTTTAAAACATTGTAAAAAATAATTAATTGCGGTTAAAAATCTGGAATTCGAGCTGTAATATCTACTTAATGAAGCAAATCTGTAATCTGTAACTCGTCAGAATACTTCTGAAGAGTATTTTCTGGTTCTGGTTAAATTTTGACTACCTGTGATATCATGTAGATAATACATTCTACAGAATGAACCCATAATTCTTAGATCTTGACTCGAACAGGATGTGGTTAACAAAACCAAATAACCACTTAATAACCGGCAAGGTTATATTTGGCGCCATAATTATATTATTACATTATTATTACTACATTACCTGTATGCATAAACCTTTAAATAACATTCCAAAAAACCGCATGCGATGGTGCCTAGAATTGACCTTGAGATCGCCAAAGTAATTACTACAATAGATTACGAAAGTCAATGAATTGAATTATCGAATACACTCATTAACATTTTAATAGCGCGCCGATCGCGACAGAGAGAGACGTTCTAATAAATGAAGCGAGCGTTGCCAAATTTCCGTGCGGCAACACCGCACCGCGCACCCGGCCACCTCTTCGTTGTGTTTATTTATTTACGCGGCCAAATACAACACTTTTTTTTGTTTTATAAGCATTTTTTGGATCAAATTAAACAAAACATATTTTAAAAATGTCAGTTTTTACTCTTAGGGTTTTTGCGGTTTTTCATTTAATTTGTTTTGAAGTGTCGATTTATTGCGAAATACTCGAGTCTGGTTGAGTGTTGTTAATTTGTATTGTCTGACATTGCAGTCTCAAAACTTAATTCGAGAATCCTTGAAGGCAAGGTTGATGCTTCTTTGTTAACTTGGTACTAAACGAGTTCAGATCAAATAATAATAACATTAATATTGCCTACGAAGAAAACACTGCTTTTTTTACTCTTGCAACAAAATAATGTTTATCTCCACGCGGTCTATAATTTAAACTTTATTGTTGTCAACATTCGATAAAGAAATACCTTGTTATGGCCTAGGCCGATAAAAATTTTTATGAGGCAAGTAATTAGTTCGATTTTTTCTCGCTAGGGGTATTGTTTTGAAAAATTTGTAACATTTTGTAACACCTACATAAGTAAATGGTTATACAAATTATTTCTTTTAATTTTTAATAATATTTTATATTTGATTCGATTGCTTTGGATGTGTTTAATTTACTTGGTGAACTGATATTTTTAGTATGCTTTTACTACCTCAGATATTTGAAAACATATATAACAATGAAATAAAAGATGCATGAAAAGGTCCATTTCACTTAATCCCATATAGCCAATAATGGCAATAAAATTCTAACCAACATTAGCATAAATCTCTAGGAGATTTGCCACGGGCATTAGAGTTCGTATCTTCAATTAACTGTAAAGCTATGCGTGGGTCTACTTAATGTCTCATGCGGCGCCCAACGATATCTGCCGCGGCGTCGGCAGGCCAACCAGGAAATCTTTTGCCAACCGTTTTACGCGATACGTAACGTTACTTTGTAATGGCGCATGCGGAAGTACGAGGACACTTTGACAAGTCCTCAGAATGAGTTTAAGATTCAGTTTTATTTTTCAACAATACGTTTATTCCAACGATACTCCAACTTCCTTAAGTCACAGGGGGCCAAATCTGGAGAGTGCGGAGGATGCAAAGGCTTGTCGACAAATTCATCTAAAATTTTGACAGTAATCGTTTGAAGGATGGTTCTTGTCAATCGTGCCTACGGCTTATCTATATGCCCTCGTATACTATATATAGTATAATTTGGCATTTATCTCCGCTTAGTTTCCTTATAGTCACGCTTAGAAATTTTCTATGACAAATTTCGGTTTTTAAGAAGGTGTAACGAGCCTTGATAATTATAGGTTACCTAGAAAAGTTATAAACGATTTGTTCTGTGGATCTGTAGATGTGAAAAACGTTTTAATCAATAGAGGCATTTATTATTATTATTATTAATTCTGAAATTTTTTTAAAACTTAGATGACTTTAATTTCTTATATATACAGGGTGTTGTGAAAAGGGAAATGAAACTAAATTATTAATTTAGATATCTATGTATTCAACGACTTAATATAAACTGACACTAACAACATAAAATAAACATAACAAAACATAAACTACAAACTGAAAAATAAAATTTGTATAGCTAATTCTAATAATATTGAAATATAATTCAACATGAAGTGCGTCTCCACTTATAATAGTACAAATGTCGATAGATTTAATATGTATTCAGCGACCAACACAAAAATTATAGGATAGAATTAAGTTAATAAAAACTGAAAACATAAAATAAACATAAATTACAAACTAAAGTAAATAGTAAGCTGATCAATAATGTAGCAAAGTAGGAACATAGAAACACTTTTTATCCTCATTTAATCACCAGGTCGTAATTATTGTTTTATCCCAGTCCGTGAACAATTTTGCAAATACCTACCTACCTATTCTGAAAAAAATAATATTCAATAATTACTCACCAGAAATTTGGTACTAACCTCACAATGATACACTTCCAAACACTAACTAAAACTGCAAACTGATGATGCAGATTGCAGTTGAGCGACCGGCCGGCGTCTTATTTCAATCGGGAAATCATTTCATTGGTTACCTTAGGTGGTGTGATGCTTCACTCCCGAACAAATTGTCCAATATTGTAAAATTTATATATATAACTCAAAGTTATACTATATTTAAACGAATTATTTTAAAAATTGTACAAAAGAGTAACATTTATTTTTGAAATATTTTTAACAACAGATTTAAACTCTTTTTTTGACAATATTGTGCAAATCGTTAAATATACAATCTTACTGTTTGCAACAAATTATAGAAAATTGACTTAAACAACCTAATTAGAAAAACCAATCCAACTATCTTGGATGACGTAGTTAACGAATATTTTATTGGTAAAAAATGCTGGTACTAATTCAAATAGTAGAATTTTGACTATTTCATTTTAAGAGAGTATTTACTTCTTTTCTAAAGTCAACCGTTTAGAAGTTTTTGCTAAAGTTTAAAATTATATTTTACTGCTAGATAAAATTTGTTTTCTTTGTCAAAACTATGAGAAAGATAAAATGTCACCAAATCATCAAATACTTTCCACAGTTTTGACACATCTTAACAAAATATAAATAAATAGTTTAAGAAACTCAAGTCAAAAAATAAAAATTGAAATTTTATGAAACTGTATTTAATCGAGAAAATATTTAATTTAATTTTAAACACCCATCTCAGTATACTAGAAAACCTACTGTATTATATGTAATTACCATTAAGAAACAAGTTTTAATATTTTGTGACAAATATTAATTTTATTAAACAATAAATCTTATGTTAACTTTTTAAAGTATACAACCTTATGCTATAAAAAAGTAACACTTCGAACTTTTAAGAGCTCTTATTTAGCCATAACGTTTTTTCACTATTAATATTATTAGCACTGAAAATTTTATATTCGTGCCGTACTTTTTATTAGCGAACCCATTAAACGAACGTTAACCTAATCTATTAAGCCAATACCTAATACATTTTTTATAGGCATTGTCAGGCTAAACAGGCCGGTTATTAAAATTTTTGTTTGGGATTTATGTTTATTAATGTGTGTCCTGTTTTAATTCAAATTATACAAGCTGTCCGTAAAAAGTCTACCACATTTACCTTTTTTGGACCCCCTGTATAAAAATTGTGGACATTTTCTTTATGTAATACACAGGGTGTACCAAATGACGCGCACCACCTAGATTGAAGGTGTATTTTGGTACATAGAGGATTATTTAATCCCACTAGATGTTTTGGAGGTTATGATCAGTTTATTGGCATTGTCAGCTAATGTTCCTTCTTAACCTTGTCTTGTCTTACACAAGCATTAGTTATAGATATTTAAATGCTTCAA